TTGAAAAACTCTCTTATAATCTATTAATTTGAAAACAGTGTTATTCAGATTTTCTTTATATTTTTTTAATTTTTGTCTAATGAGTAAGTTGTTAGTCCAATCTACATATGGCTTTGAAATTTATCATTTGATATTTCAGTCTCTAAATTGGGCACAGCTTTTACTACATTTTGCTGTACAAAGAATCTGGTCATCAACTTAACAACCTGGTATGTCTGAGTGGTCCAGTCTGAGACCTTGGATATCAACACAATACACATTTATTGATGATATAGTGGCATTACCTTTGCAGGACCAGTGCATACTTACTGAATGGATTTTAAAGTATATTTTAAAAATTGAGACATGTCCCAAAGTCGTAAAACGTAGCATGTGGGACAGTGGCTGGAATTCACAGGCATGTTCAGAAGTTCTTTTTCTTCTTTGGCCATGACATACCTTCTTGTTCCCTTTCTCACCCCTATTTAATGCCACAATGACTAAAACACAACTACTAAAAATTCATTTCTAAAAAACGAGAGCCATTGCCTGTACCCGTCGCTCGGGTTCCCAGGGCGCCAGCCTCGGGTGGAAGGCTGGGTCACCGCGCCGGGCAATGCGCGTCCATACAGCCTGTTTCCAGCAGTGCTGCGTCAGACCAGACTCCTGGCTTCTGAGTCCTTCACCTCGCTTGGCCTTGACACCAGCAGTGCGACTTCGCAGCTGTCACTTCGCCCCCGCCTCGGCCGAAGGTTAAACTTGAGCTCTTTTCTACTGGTCTTTTACTTTTCAGGCTCTTGGTCTTTCTGAAAAATCTGCAGGTACTTTAATGCTGGCAATTTAAAAAGATGGGAATCTTCGACAGTTGTCAGAGGATTACGACTGAGAATTCTGAAAAATGCAATGGAATTAAATGGTCATTTTCAATATCTATGAGACTAAAAAAAAATAAAAATAAAAAATAAAAAACAAAACAAAAGAAAATGAAAAAGAACAAAAAATGAAAATTTCATTTCTGAGGTTGTGAATTCCCAGTGTTCTTTTTTAAAGTGTAAAAATATTCAAGAGTAGGCTGCAAATTATTACTGTTTTCCAGCAACATATGGTGAATTTATCAAATTTCTTTATTTTCTAATGACTAGCTGAGAACACTTGTAAGGGAACAGGGGGAAAGAAGAGAGAACATAATGTAGGGAGGGAGGTGGGGAAAAGAATATGTCCACGACAGCTATTCCCCAGGGAGATTAGCTGTGGGAGCACTGTGTCAGTGGGATTGTGGGAAGATGGAGGAAGCAGGAAGGTGCTGTATGCAGGTGTGGGGAGTTGGGTGGGTAAGTAGAGTGGGCTTGGGGGAATTTAAGGAAACAAACTTCATCTAGACCATGAATTTTTTCTTTGAATCAAAACCAGCCTCATGCTTATAGCTATTTGATTCCGTAATGAATAGGGGGGACATTTTCTACTCTTCCTCAAGTTTGGTTGGTGAGAAAGGAAACAATAGACAAACTTGATGCTTTTATTTTTTTCTATTTTTTACTATCATTTCAGTAAGAAGCCTACAATGCCATAACTTGATTATACTAACATGTGTCCAATGCTCAAGTAATTCATTTCATTATCATGTGGCCTTATAACATTTCATTTTGGCTTCTTGGTTCAACTGTTCATTTACACTGAACTTATCAGGTGTGTCACATCCTCAATGACACTGCAAGTCCTTTTGGGGTAGGTATACTGTGCTATACTTGCTTAACTCTATTATGGTTGGTTATATAAAATCCCCATATAGCAGATATTGGTGGATATTGGTGTCTTGTTGACTTGAACTGAGGGGAAGCTAGAGGCTTACTTCTCTTTTCTAGCCCATAGATACTATGTCCTTCACTGGGGTTCATAGCTACTATCTTCTCCTTGCTAAACAAGCAGATAATTAAACTGTGTTGAAATCAGTAAGGGTCACACTAAAACACCATCACTAAGGAGATTAGAACTTGTATCAGAATGGAGAAAGGAGTGGTTGTATTAACAAGATTTTATTCAGGTGAAATAATGCAGGATAAAACTATCAAGATAACTTCATTTTAGGACTGGGGATTAGCTCAGTTGGAAGACAGCTTACATTGCAAGAGGCCCTGGGATTGATCCTTGCACTACAAAAAACATTACTGCTACTACTGATTCCATCTAGTGTATAAGAATGTTGTATTTCTCATATTCTGAGAGTCTATGATAAACACAGTTGAATTTGGACTTGATATGGGTTCTGACTGAGCTTCTCCTTTTACCTCTTTTCAGAACTTGAATTTAACCTTATAAGACTGAACTGTCTTACACTTAACAGGTGTGAATAAGTGTGGTCACTGGAGATGAACTAGATGAATAGTAAAGGTTGGGCATATCCTTTGGTTAATTCACGATAGTCCAGAGACCAATTCAAAAGCTCATAGATTAAGCTGGATGTGGTGACTCAAGCCTGTAATCCTGGGTACTTGGGAGGTAGATATAGGGAGAATTGGGGTTTGAAGTGAGTGGGGCAAAAAGACCCAGGTCTTTTTTGCAAGACCCTCATTTCAACCACCAATGGCTGGGCTTGGTGGTGTGCACCTGTTATCCCAGCTACATGGGGATGATCCAGGCAGGCCAGGCATAAAGCGTCTCAAAAATAACTAACACAAAAAGGTATGGTGGAGTGGCTCAACTGGTAGAGCACCTGCCTAGCAAGTGTAAAGTCCTGAATTCAACCCCCAGAATTGTCAAAAAAAAAAAAGAAATTTTATAGACTGAGAAACATGCATCCAGTGGATTTTGTAAACCTGCCTCTTAGGATAGACTTAAAATAAGTGAAGTCAAGACTCTGGTGTATGTATTCCTTCATATTCATATCTATATAGACATTTATTCATTCAACAAATATTGTTGAGCTCTATGTGTGTTACAGACAGTGGAAATGAAGCATTGGACTTTGTTTTGTTACTATACAGTGTACATTTTGGAGTTTGACAGAGAGTATCTAATATCACCCATAGGTGACAAAAGCAATACAGGAAAATAAAGGGTAAGAGATACAGTGAGGGATGAAAAAGAAGAGCCTACATGAAGTTAGAATCTGAGCCACTTGAGAGCTGGCTGAACCTTCAAAGGCCCTGGGGAGGATACCAGCTTAGGATGTCCTAGGAACAGTGATGCTCAGTCTTCAACAGACCACACCATACCTGGGGACAAATAATACAGGGCTTTTGTACAGAAAACTGAGTCACTACTTGGAGTTTGTTTGGTGAGCTTGGTATCTGAACAAAGGCATGAATGATTTAGGGCACGGGCCTGAGTTAGTCTGAAGCATCTATCCGTATGTCTGAGCTATTACGTGCCATCAGGTCTGTCTGGCTAAAGCTAGGATGGGCACTGCTTATTTCTAGTTAATTTGGGGCTAGGATACATTGAAGGAGTCCTAGCTCCATGTATAAGCTGGGTAGTTCTGGCAAGTTCCTCACTCTAATTCTTTGGAAAGTGAACTAGTCCAGGGAGATGGTAATTTGCCCAAGATCACTAGACAGAAACTGAACTCAAGCCTTTTGACTATTTCCTAAACCTTCCTGCTGCTTCTGGATATGCCCACCCTGGCAGAAAACAAATTTGGTGATTGTCAATGAATCAGAGAGGAGGAACAGTGTGGCAATTAGTCAGAAGTCTGTCCATATTAATGAATGTTGCCCTTTATAGTCTAAATTTTGAACATATCCTCTTAATATTGCTACATGCCCTTAAATCTACTGGGGCAACTCCTTCTGTCTTACTGGCCTATAATAAGGGCATTTTTTGCAGGTACAATAGTCTTGCTAGGACATAGGCCCAGAGTCAATACCATGTTTTTTGTTTTTTTAAAAAAAACTACAGACTGAAATCCCAGTAGGCACACAAGGCCACATCTTTCAATGTTCAGAACACATTTGTTTACAAAACACAAGACCGTGTTTCTGCACAGTAGAGGACAGTATGACAGAATTCCAGGAATCAAATTACTCATCCCATGAGCTGGTTCATGATTTATTTAAAAACATACCCAAGAATTGTTGAGGTCATGTATAAACTAATACACCTGCCTGCTTTTATTTATTCATTTAAAATTCCATGTTATTTCAGAGTTTTTATGCGGCTCATCAGTTAATAGCAACTTACAAAAACACTGTGCTTCTCCCCCCCACAAAGCAGTTTCCCTAGCATTGCCTCATTAGCTGCTCACGACAGCCCCAAGGGCTGGGAAGGGCTGGCTTTGCTGTCACCATCTTAATAAGAGGAACTTAGGTGTGGAGGTCCTGCGCTGTGCAAGGAGGGTCTTCACAGACGTTTGCTTACCGGGTTTGATCCTTCCCCAGCATCCTGCTCTCCCCTCTGTTTGGGGAAGCGTGGGATGGAGGTCAGTCTGCGGCGACATCCCACCAGACAAGCCCTCCGGTTCGGGTAGTGACATAAGCTGGGGGTCAGGATTAGGGACACCGGCACAGCTCTCGGCCTGGGTTCCTAGGAGAGCCAGGACTTCCAGCTGTAAGCACGCTTGGGATCAGGCCAGCGGGGAATCCACTCGGGACACCACGCAGAGCCTCGAACTGGCAAACTGTCGACTCCGATCGCGTGCGAAACAAGTTCAAGCGACACCGCTAGTCGCTGTCAGGCTAAAAACTGAACTTTGGGAGGCTACCGCGAGCTGGGGCCCGCTGAAGGAGGTCCTGAAGGCTCTCGGAGTGCTTCCTACTCAGGGGTCCAGAGAGCGCCGCCCGGGGCCGGGGCGCAATGTGCCGCAGCCCGGAGGGGATGTGGTGGCGTCACCGCTCGCTCCCGACTAGCCGGTTGACGCCGATGACAGGCACCAGGGTAACCGCCGACTCCTGTCTCAGGGGGCCCGCCCTCCTAGGCTCCGCCCTCCAGGGCTCCGCCCCTTCCGCCGGCCCCGGCCTCGGGGACCCGCCCCTTCCGTCTGCCTCTCCTCCCAGGCCCGCCTCTTCCGCAAAGTTCCGCCCCTTCTTTTCCGCGTGTGGGGCCTGGAGCGCTTCTGCTCTGCCTGAGTCCTCCGTGCAGGAGGTTGGTGTGTGGTTTCCGTCGTGCCCCCGCCACCTCGGCCATGGGGGTCCCCAAGAGGAAGGCCTCAGGCTGCCGGGGCAGCACAAGTTCCTCCGCGGGCGCTGCCAAGCGAACCCGTTCCGAAGAGTTCACAGGCGTGAGGTTCAAGACTCAGTTGAGGGACCCACAGGGCGTCAGGCCAGGTGAGTGCGGGCGGCGGGCCCGGGACAGGGAACACGTGCTTGCGAGGTGGCGTCCTGGCTGACCACCATCCACACAGCTCTCCTTTCTGCAGCTTTTGGGTCACTGCCAAGCCTCTGGTTTGGAGGGCAATTGAGGCCCCGATGATTGGGCGTCCAGGGCCCCCAGCCGACGGGGCAGCTCCAGGACTGCGCGCTGTACTTCCTTGCCCCGGGCTGTCATTGGAAACCAGAGGGCCCCGACTTGATTGCTTGTGACATAACATTTCATGTAGTTGCACATTTTCCCTTTCGGGCAGCAAGTTCTAAAACTTCCCGTTGCAGCTGTCAGGAAAGTAAACGAAGGGGCTTCATTAGAATGCTTATTGAGTTCTTCACTGTGAGCCTTCCAGGGCAATTCAGTGAGAATTACCGTTTTCTACGGCTTCCATCCACCAATACTTACACTGACCTGACGACAAACTGCAGAAGCCACCACAGCTACTTGTCAGATGGTCAGGATTGGACCAGTGACTGAAATAGAGCAAAATCTGTATATTAATTGAGACTGATCAGCTTAACAACTACTTGTAGCCTTCTGAAAAGAATGTAGATTAGTCGAAAACCCACAATTGAACATGCTGCCATGTCGAAATATTGGCGCTATGCTAAAATAAAACAATGACAGTGTTTTTCCAGGTTAAAGAAATCATTGACAGACTGTCTTCAGCTAATGATTTTTCTCCTACAGATTTTGTTTTTAAACTTTTAATGCTTGCACTTGCTAGCTGGTGCTAGGAAGATGGTACCTCCTTTAGCACAGAATTATACATTTTACACATTTATTCATTATTTAATTGGGACTGTTATTTGTTATAGTAGAACTAAAATGGTGAATAAAAATTTGACAGAGGCCCTGCTGTTGTAAGTCTTACAGTCAAGTAGGGAAGACAGGCAAGCACAAACCCTCTACAGGAGGTGTACATGGTGCCTTGAACCTAATCTGGAAGATCAAAGAAGACTCCCCCAAGAAAGTGGCTTTTGAAAAGGATTGTAGGATGAGAGATAGGAAGCTTTCTGTGGGCAGGGTGTGTTTCGTTATTGAAAAGAAGCAACTGTGTCCATATTTTATGGTCCAAACCATAGAGCAGCATTCATGTGCTTCATTAATTGAACAGGTATTGGAAGGACAACCTGGTTGACAGGTGATCAGCGTAGGTAAAGTAGTTGAACGACATGGCAAAGCTAAAGTCAGTGAGTGAACACGTTCATCCCTGTGTGAGGCTGTTTTAGATTTGTGTTTAGATTTAGTCTCTGTCTCGAATTTTTTTCTGTCCCTTTTGATACACTTTCAATGTTCTGTGGTTAAAATCACTGGAAGATCAGGGAAGTAGAATTAATGGATAGATGCCAGGAATTTTGTTTTTACGCAGGCATGAAGGAAGATGTCTGGTTATGGTGCCTTCACATAGTGGAGGAAAGAGAGCCATTGGGTTCAATAGGCAAAGGGTCCTCCGTGAATCAATGTCAGCATTAAATTGATCATTGGTGGGATAGGATTCCAGATCAAGAAGGGGTCTGCTTCAAGCCAGTTCTTTGAAAGTTTTGACTGTTAATCCATGGATGATAGAAATGGTCATATTGTAAATATGAGTATGCTAAAGGTTAAACATTTGACCTCCCTATCCTGGCTTTGTTTCTCTGTTCCCCATTGCAGGAAGGGTTAATTCCAGTCACCTGGGTGTTCCTGTGCATACTCTGGCCTTGGTGGTTCTTTTCTTGAGTATCTGGAGACTGTCTGCCCCCCCCCCACCTCCTTCTTCATCATTCTGGTCCAGGCACCATCAGTCCCTGCTGTGACAGTGGCCAGGGCTGCCCAGGATTGTCCTTTTTTCTAGCTCATTTTACTCTCAGCAGTCAGGTAACCTTTTAAAATTGCAGATCTTATCATGTCAGTCCTCTCATGTCATCTTTTGGTGGGATCCCACTGCTCTTAGGATAAAATCCAAAGTTATTGCCACCACCTCATCTAGCCTTGCCTACTGCTCTGTCTTCATCTCAGGCCACCCACCTACCCATTTGTAGCCACATGTATCCTTGGGACCTCAGCTGTCCCCAAGGACAGTTTTTGAAGGAAGAGCATGGACCCTGGAGCCAAACTGCCTGGGTTTGGGGCCTGGCTCTGCTGTGCCCCAATTCATTATAACCAATGTCAGGTTCAGCCTTACTTTTTGGAGAAGCTTTTCCAGCTTTCAACTCTAAATCACATTCCCCAGTTGTAACTACTACACCCCTGATTTTTGCTTCAAAGCACTTACTACAGTTTGTAATATGTATCTATTTAAGTGACTGTGATAGGTACTTAATAAATATTCATGGAGTGAATGTTGCCTCTGCCATTGCACTTTAAGTACCATGTGCGTGGAGACATTTCCAGTTTGTTCACTTGCATATCCCTGGCACCATTGGAATGCCCAGGGCATTGGCGGGTGCTAAGTAGATGGTGAATGGAAAGGTGAGCGTGGAGATGGCACATATTAAAAGCCAGCAGTTTCTTCCCTATAACACCCTGGACTGCCCAGGTTTATATGTTAGAGTTTGGCAAGTGACTCCTTAAAAAAGAGAAAGTATTAGTGCTACTCTCTTTGCAGTAGCATCCTTTACTGTGTCTTGGATTCTGTGTTGTCTTGAAGGAGTGGGGTAGAATATTGTGAGTGACTCTAGGGGATCCTGAGGATTGAGGTGTGATCTTGGGCCACCTCTGTCAGATACCACAACCCTTTCTCATTATCTTTCTAGGCTGTGCTATGGGTGCCTGGACCAGCAGGGCATTCAGTGAGTGTTGAAGGGCTGAGTGACTGACTGCTAGGGAAAATGCTGTGGTAAGGCCTAAAGAGGGTCCAAAAAGACCTTGCAAGGCTAGCAGAGGGCTGCGTGTGAGCTGAGGCTGTCAGGAACTGCTGTGCCTTGAAAGGTTTGCCTTGTAATAAGGTGATGCCAAATGTGTTACATGTGAATTAGCCCCTTTTGCTTCATGCCAGCTCAGTTAGTAGGGGCCGTGCCTGCCTTCACTTTTTACGCAAGGTACCCAGAGCTCAGTTTGGTGACTTGCTCACCACCATACAGCTAATAGATGACCAAGGTCGGATTCATCCCAAGAGGAGTTTGCATTCTTACCTGGCATGTTCATAGTGTAGGGTCCTGCTCCTGGGTCCCAAAACCCAACCACACTTTACAGAACTGGGTAGCACTATGTGTACTTCAGGATTCAAGTCAGATACACACAAAGTGGCTGTCCAAGAAAGATGTGTTGGTCGACTGTGCTCAGCAGATAGCTTTCACCCTAACCAAGTCCTCTTCTAGATCTGATACTTCAAGGGGACATAGATAATGATCTGAACATGGAAGGATCTCGAAACTGTAATCTCTGGAGAGAGGCTGAAGGAGGCATTTGGTTTTTGGAGGTGCAGGCTCTAGGGATGGTAGCTGGTGTGGGACAGAAGGATTCCATCTACTGAAGGTGGTCACAAGGTAGAAAAAGACGGGAGCTTGTGGGGAGGCTGGTGGAATGCCTTGCCCTGCTATTTCCATGAAGATTTGGGTATTCTTAAAGGGCCGTTGGTGTTTTACATTTTATTTCACTGGTAATAACTTTTAATATTTTTATTAAAACACAGTTAATTAAATATTTAGTTCCTCCCATTGTTTAAAATAAGAATAAAGGTGTGCTTCTTTTAGTTTGTGCTTTCGTGTATCTTCCTACCAGCCGTTGTGCCTATTATCCTGGTTTGGAGATGTGTGGCCTAAAAAAATAGATCCAGAGGAGCAGTGTTGTAGAATCCAGACTCCAAAGAAAGAGCCCTCAGGGAGCAGGCACATGGGTGGCTCTGCGGTGGTGTGGCACTGTGGCAGGGCTGCAGCTCTGCTGGGGTGTGTTGTTAGAGGAGATGGAATGGAATCTTCAGGTCACTGGGAGGAGGGAACTTCTGGGAGCCTCACGGGGAAGCACTCCTTCAGGCTTTTGAAGAACAGCAGGTTCTGGGCTGGCAGTAGGCCAGGCCCTTTGTGAACAGCACCCAGGTCATCTCACATAGAGTGGCAGTGGTTAGTTCTGTCAAGTGGGCAAGAACTGTCCTGTTTTTGAAGGAAAAGCATGGATGCTAGAACCAGACTGCCTGGGTTTGGGACCTGACTCTTCCAGGACCTTAACAAGAGGCTCAGTTTTCTCATTTGAAGTGGGAAAGAATACTAGTACCTAGGGCAGACATATGCTATGAGAATTAATTGGTGTAACACAGGAGGGGCTCTTGGTAATGTTCCCTTACCATGGTACAGATCTTTTCTTTTTTTATGTCTTTTTTTATTATATTATTGTTGTACTGGGAGTACATTTTGACATTTATGTAAGTGCTTACAAATATCTTAGTAAGTTCACCCCCTCCATCGTTCTCCTTTTCCCTCCTCTCCCCTCCCCGCCCCCCGCCTCCTTATGTTATAGATCTTTTCTTTTGCAGTCCCTATCTCATAGGCGAGGGAATGAAAGGTAAGAGGGTCCAGGTGAATACCAGCTAAAGCTAGGATGAAATCTGTGAGTTTTACCTCCTGGCTGACAGCTTGCTTTATTCCTGTACTGTCTTCCTTGTTTTCAGTGTTTTTGTCACATCCAGATGGATTCATCTGCCAGGGTTGCCATAATAAAATATTGTAGACTGGTAACTTAAACATTTATTTTCTATACTTGTGTAGACTAGGAGTGTAAGATTGAGTGCTGGCCTGGTCAGGTTCTGGTGAGGCTCACTTCCAGGATTGTTGTGTCCTCGCATGGCCTCTCTTGAGAGAGGACCTCTCTGATGTCCTTCTTCTTACAAGGATACCAGTCCTATGACATTAGGGCCCCAACCTTATGAGCCCATTCAACCTTAATTACTTCCTAAAAGGCCCTACTCCCCAATACAGAAATGTGGGTTTGGTGGGGAAACAGTACAGGCAGTTGCATTGTGAGTAGCCTCTGTAGCTGTGTAGGTAGGTTGGGGAGGGTCACAGAACAGGGGAAGCAGGGCTCTGTAGTAGCTGTGATTGTTTTTGAGGAGACTGCCCTTGTTGACCTTTGAACATAACTCTCTTTTCAGCCTTGGAAGCATTTGTGTCTGCTGCCAAGAAGCTACCACAAGAAGATGTGTGTGATGTTGTTGAAGGGTTTATAAAGATATCTGTGGAGTGTGCTGAAGTCTTCCAGCTCCTGAGTGGAGAGAAGCGGCCTGAAAGTGAAGTATGTTGTTCCTTACCTATGAATGCCACTATGGTGATTAGCTAATATTTGATGACTGGTGTCTGAAGATCATGGATTCTTTCTTTTTTCTTGTGCTGGTACTGGGGAATGAACCCAGGGTCTCATGTATGTTAGGCTAGCACTCTACCACTTGAGCCATACTTGTAGTCCTTTTGTTTTTTGTAGTGCTGGGATTTGAACTCAGGGCTTCATGCTTGCTAGGCAGATATTCTGTCACTTGAGTGATATCCCCAACCCCTTTTACTTTACTTTTCAGGTAGGGTCTTGTACTTTTGCCTGGGACTGACCTCAGATAGTGATTCTCCTACCTTACGCCTCCTGTATACTTCTGCTTGTTGGTTGAGATGGGGTCTTGTTAATTTTTTGTCCAGTCTAGCCTCAAACCACAATCCTGATCTCCACTTCCTCAGTAGCTAGGATTACAGGTGTATGCCATGGTATTTGGCTAAGATCATAGAGTCAACCTGTTTTGTTTTAACAACAAAGAAACTGGTAAATGCTTTGTGTTGTAGACTAAAAAAAAACATGCAGAATTGATTTTGGTTCCAAAGAGGGTGAAAATTTAGGATATTTATGGCACTTGCGATCTCAGGGTCATTGTTATAAGCCCATAGAACTGAGTATCCTCAAAGCAGGAAGGCCTTGTCACTAACAGAGTTTTCTCTCATTTCATTTTCTGTAATTGTAAGCAAATTATGCTGTATTTCATCTTTAGAGCTTGGGTCCTAGCAGGTGAGCCTTCAGAGCTTTCCCCTTTCCATCTTTGCTGTGTTGGGCTCAGGATCTGGGAAGGTTTAACTCTGCATAACTCTGACTTACACAAGAGGAGCACGTGTGTACGCGAGGAAAAGAAATGAGACAGTTCATAGCATTTCACTTCCATCTTTGCAGATGTTGTTAATATTTCAAGTTTTCGAGGCCATATTGTTGCGGACAGCCAGTGATCTCTCACATTTTCATGTTGTGGGTACCAACATTGTGAAAAAACTAGTCAACAACCACATGAAGCTCATCTGTGAATCCCTGTATGCCTCGGGTTACAGGTAAGCTGCCTGCTTCTGTGTGGCTAGGGACTGGCCTCTAGGTTTGATCTGTATTCAGCCCTCAGCAAGCAAGGGGCCCTTCACCTTTGCTCATTGAGGAGACCTGAGCTGTTTCCAAGACTGTTGTGACCATGCTTCTGTCCTTTCTCCCGCTGTGACCAGCAGGGTCATTCACCAACTCCTGTCCTACCATGTCCCTGCTGCTTTTCCCACTGCTTCAGGAACAGCCCAGACATGCCCTACATAGCTTGTTCCTTCTGTCTCAAAGGCTCTTCTCCCAGATGACATGGGCTGTCTGTACCCCAGTGCTTTGCAGGAGTGTCACCTCAAGGGAACCTTCATTGACCAGAAACACTCCCATGGTCTTTTCTGTCCCTTTAGCCGGCTTTAGTTTTCTGCATATAGACAAATACCTCTGTAGTTGACAGAATAGTCTACATGTATCTGTTGACTGTCTTCTGCCACTTGAATGCAAGGTGCATGTGGCCCCCTGGGACTTACCTGTCATAAAATGCTGCCCTCCCAGCATCTGGAACCGTGCCTCATGTGGAGTAGTTGTTCAGTGAAGAACCCATTGCGAGTAACCACAGAGCAGAAAGGCAAGCAAGAGCTCACTTTTGGAGACTTCTTTATGAAGAAGTTGTCCTCTGCCCTGCAGTCATAGGGACTAGATTTGTTCTCTCAGTCACTGATGCTTTATTCAAGAGATAAATTTTCATCTTCTTTGTATCTTGATCCTCTTCAATCTGTTTTTTAGTTTCTTTTGAAGTTTTTGCTTTTTTTTTTTTTTTTTTTAAAGAGAGCATGCCTCTCCCTTTCTTTTTCTGCCTTGAGGTTACAAATCATACAGTCAGGTTACAAATCATACAATCATACAAATCATGACTCCCTGGTGAGGTAGCATTGTGCTTCTGCTGTTCCTAACACACTTGGTTTCCTTTGTCTATGCAGGATGGCTCGAGCCTGCCTGGACCTGATGGCTGCCATGGTGACCCAGGGTCCCGAAGCTGCCAGGGATGTCTGCAGCCATTTTGACCTGAATAAAAAGACTTTGTACTCCCTGGTGACCAAGAGGGATTCAAAGGTAAGAACTCTGACTGTTCTGTTCCTCCTATGTCTCCTTTCTTCCTGGAGGGCTATGGTGGTTTATTTTTCTTCATCTTTTGCCTTGGTCCATGCCAGGGTGTGCCTTGGCAGCCACTGGCCTCTATGAGAAGGGTAGGCCTCACACCTGGCTGACGATGGGGCTAGTAGGACATCTGTGGAGGCTTTGGGGCTAAGTGATGAAGAAGAAACTGACTGAGTGCCCAGTGCCTCTCGCTTGTGAGGACGACCTAGCCGTTAGCATCTTCTGAGTAAACAGAATAACCTCCTGTGCCTGACAGCTGTGAGCTTGCATAGCATCCCAGTCCTCTGTTCCTTCCCATCCATTTGGAGAATGCCCTTCGAACTCTTGAGCCAGTGACATCCTCAGAGAGGGTCCTTCCAGCCCTTTGATAAGTGGCTCATGCATCCCAATTATGATATTGTAATGGGTAGGGGCGGAGCTGTGCTAAAGAGACTGAGAGTGTCAATGCTTAGCTCTCAGAACATCTGTAAAAGAAAAGTTTTCTGGTAGTTCTAGAGCTGTTGCTTGGGTTTGGGAGGGCTCTGGTGGGGTGGGCACAGCCAAAATGCCTGTGTCCAACACTGAGCCAGCTGAATGGTGGGGAAATGCCTCTTCCCTCTTGCCATATCGGCTCTTTGGCACTCAGCCCCGTCAGAACTCTCACCTGCTCGCTGAGAGCATGAAGACAGGTATGCCCCTGTCTGCTGAGGTGGAGAACCACTTTAGTAGCCACCTCTGTAATCACAGGCCATTTTGTTCTCTCAGTATTCCTGGGAATTAAGCAGTTTTTCATTGCCAGGAAATAGACTGAGGTTAATAATAACACCAGGTAATATTTATGGGTCTGTGGGATTGGCCTGGTGTTGAGGGCTTTACTGGAATTACAAATAAGGTAGTCTCTGAGGAAAGAGTCCAGGTCTTAATGTCTCTTAGATGCTATGCTTTATTAACATGTCAGCAGATTCCGTTCAGTGACTAATGGCTCCTGACATTTAAATGCATTTCTAATGAAAAGAATGTGTGTGCTGTTTGCACACTAGGGTAGATACCATGATTCTTTGGTCTTGGCTGGTAGTAAGTCTGGTAGTAATTATCTGTCAGCCCTCCCCCTTGCTCTACCACCCCGTCTCTCTTGACCTCAGCCATCCCAATCCTCTGAGTAAAATTGATTTATGTACCCAGGCCGCCCACCGAGACTAGACAACATAGGAAAGCCCACCTTGAGCTTCCCTTCCCAGCCTGGGCTGCACCAGCTGTATCATCTCAGCTCTCGGGGCAAGATATTTTACCTCTCCAGGATCTGTAAAATGGGAGTCAGTGTCAAGTTGAAAGTGTTTTTACTTTCTTTTGTGTAATCTTCTACATCATCCACCTTAAATACTTTGTATGTTATAGACAGTGATGTCTAGACACTAAAATTTTTAAAACATGTATAGGAAATGTCAGGGACATTAAAAAGTAGAGCAGCACAGGGGACCCCTGTGTCCCAGCTTCAGCCACTTGTTACCCTTCCCACTTTTTCAGTTTGCTCTTACAACAAATCCTAGACAAAAGTCCTATTTCACCATAAATATTTCTGTATCCTTAACATAAAAAGATCTTTAAAAAAATACAGCCACATAATGTCACAATTGGTAATTGGTAATTGGTTTGGTCTCTGGATTTTCTTAACTATCTCAAAAGTATTTTTATACTTTGGATAAAAAGTATAAATCCAGGTCCAGACAAGGTCAGCATACAGTATTTTTCAAGTATCTTTGAATCTCTTTTGAATCTTCGAGTTTCCCCTGCCTTTTTTCATGCCACTTAGTTGTTGAAGATTCTGATAGCAATTTCTGTTTTTTAAGGACTATATCTTAATCTTTGGGGAGGGAATTATTAAAGCTCCCTGAAGAAAGCAGATTGTGGATTATTCATCCAGCCAAAGAAAGCTTTGTAAGAATCCTGTGCCAAAGAGCAGTTTGCCAAATGGCGTTGTGGTTTATTTTAGGAAGTGTTTTGCAGAACAGGCTCCAAAGCGTCAGGATGTTTCCTTCCTGACTGTCACCCTGCGAGGTCACAGTGGGGATGCGAGGTAGGCACGTGGCCTCTTTCAGTGGTGGTGGACGCCTTTGAAGGAGAGTACTGGACACAGATTGAAGCCCAGGTGCCTTTGCAAGAGCCATGGTAGTGATCATCCTGGAGTGGGCAGGTGCCATGTTGCTGTAATTGGTCTATTCTAGTTACTCCACTATGTGGGCACCTGAGCTTGGGATTGTTTGGGATGCATAAGATGGGAGCCAGTAGGAGAAAACCAAGTTTCTTTTCATTTCGAAATTCATTGCTAGAGGGAGCCACAGGAGAATTCAGCCTAATGCTGCTGTGTATAAGCAGGCTAGAACTAGAGTGGTAAAAACTTGGACCAGTGTTCCAGGGTCCTAACCCCAAATACTGCTACTTCAGCACCCATCCCTCCAAAAAAAGGAAAAAAATTGTGTAACCTTTGCACTAACAGGAAGAAAATAGAACCTAATTTAATTTTTCATGGCAAATTTAGCATTTAACCAGCATCATTCACAACACAAGGCATGTAGAGGCCAGTATGACAAGTGAACTGTTCTTGGATTGGGTGACATGTTTGAAAGATGCTATATAGCCTAGGAGTGGTGGTTACTTTAAGCCTCCTGAGGGCAGAGCCAATATCTTAGTTTCTTTGCATCCTTTCAGCCTAAGATTATAGCATCTTGAACGTCATGGGGGTTTTATGAACATTGAACTGGTAAGTGAAGGCACAGGAGTATGATTGATGCCTCAGGAATGCAGCTTGTTCTGAACCCTAGTTACCATTGTACCCAAACTCCATACAGTGAAGATGCCAACAGATGGGTCCCCAGAGCACAGAGGATCGTTTTGAAGACCTCAGTATATCTGGAACACATCAACATTGGTCTCATAAGGTCTCGCTGAAGTGCTGAGTGACATGGTTCAGCACTCAATAAACACAACAGATGTGCAAGCCCTGGTCTTTGTGTTTGCATATCATTCCAAATACCCAACAAATCAAGAAGGAATTGGTTAAAATGCTCTCACAGAGATCTAAGTGGTACCAAATATGGTCCTTGCACCTTGAGAAAAAGACTCTTGGGAGCTTTGAGAAGAAGGGAGAACTTCATTTTATTGACTATAAAGCAGCACCTTGGTACAGTTATTTCTTACTATCTCAGGTCTGGTTCTTAGCTGTGTGACCTTGAGTGAATTTTTTTCTTTTGCAGTGCTGAGGTTTGAACTCAGGACTTCACACACTTGCTGAGCAGGTGCTCTACCATTTGAGCCAGCCCCCTTGAGTTAATTTTTAAAGCTTCAGTTTTCCCATCTGTAAACTGAGGGAGTTAAACATCTCCACCTCAGCTTGTTATAAGAACAAATGAGAGAACAGATGTGCATCATTTGGTTGAGTTCCTGCCATGTAGTAAGTGCTCAGTAAGCTCTGTTGTTGTCACCAGCATCATTGCTACAACTCCTCTACTTCCACTGCAGAGTAGGACAAATTTGTCTGGAAGGCAGAGATGACTCCCTGGTCTTTCTTCCCAGGCATTTAGGGCAGTAATTCTCTGTAATAAGAGCTTATTTCTTAGCAGTGAATTCAGGCACCTTAGAGTAACAGTGAATTAAAGTTTCGGCTTAAGTGATGGAGGATAGAAGCACATGTGCCAGTCCTGGAACAGTTGACAAGAGACCTGCATGACTATATGCTTTGGCTTCCTTAGATGTACAATGGGGATAACGAGGCATGGATTTGTCTTAACAACCCTGAGAGGGAAAACTGATCAGACAGCCCTGGTGACTTCTCCAGGAGTGTTGGGTTGTCATGGCCTTAAAGTCCAGCTACACTAGGTAGTGACTGATGCCTGTGGATGGTGTGGGCTACAGTCCTGGAAAGTTTGGGCTGTGTGTATAACATGAAGCATCTGTGCTTTGGTTTCTGGTATGAGTTAATAACTTATTCATAATGTCTAATAAAAACCAAACATCACCACATTGCTTATCAAAAGCAGTACCAGTCTCTCCATGATCTCTGGATTTTTGAAAGCATGATTGGTTGTTTTCATTGGTAAGCAAGGGAATGGATTTAAACAGGTTAGGGTCTTCTGTCCTATACTAGAACAGCCCAAGAAGTAAAGAAATTTATGTGCTGTAGTGGGAGGAAGGGACATAACTGTTTTTACCCATACTTTTGAATTGAGAATAGGGCTTCAAAGAGAAGAAAAAATAGGGAAGACCAAAGAGTAGGGGAAAGCAAAGGAAACCTTTTCCTTTTCATAGAGACCAAGCCTTCTTTTGGGACAAGAATGGGAGGCTGGTGACAACTGTGATGCAGAACCAGGAGGTGTGTGCATGGTGCTATGTTCCAGCTTCCTTTGACTCTGTGAGGTGTATGTGACATTTGAATCTCCTTTGTTCCCCAGGGAATGCACGATGTCCGTCTGGCCTATATTCGGTTCGCCCTGTCCTTCTTAATTGCAGGTGATGACAGCACAATAGGGCAAGTGCTGGAACTGAAAGGTAGGTATTCCCCTTTGTTCCTTAGGAAAGCCTGTTTGTGATTGTTCAGAAACCCGTTTCTTAAAAAAGCCTTCAGCCTTTGCAGCTGCTGTGTGCACTGGCATAAAGGATGTGTGGGAAGTAAAGGTTTGGACAGTGCTGTGTGCTGTCACTGATCAGTATGACAGGCTTTCCTGTGAATCTTCCTGGAGTCTGAGCAATGCCCTAACAAAGCATCACTGGAGACCCATACAGGCAGACAAGTGGCTTTATGGCTTTTGGCCCAGAGGACACAGATTCATAGCCCTGGCTACCCAGCTTTCCTTTGTAATTACATTTAAAAAATTAAAGTTTATGGGGCTAAGGTGTAGTTCAGTGGTATGAGTACTTGCCTAGCAGCTGCAAGGCCTCAGGATCAATTCCCAGCACCATAATAAATAAATAAAGTTGAATTATCTTCTTGTCTCTACTCCATATGACCAGACATGGGAACTCTAAGGAACTCTAATTTAACTACATTCTGGTGACTGTCTTCCTAGAGCAAGGCTTGGCATAGTTTATTCAGGCCACTTGTGTTTTATTAAGAGTTTCAGTAAGACATTAAATGACAGCACTAGTTCAGCACATGGCAGTTGCCCGGTAGGATTCTCAGAATCATGTCCTACAACCTTGCTGGAATGCTGGGGGTCATGCTTGGAGTTCTAGGGTGCTATAGCCTAGTGTGACCAGGTGTCTTTCCTTCTGCCTCTCCCAGGGCGGAGACCTGAACACCCTGGAGAATGTGAGGGCACAGGTGGTAGTCAGTCTGTGTGTTGTCAGCCTGATTGTGGCAGAGTGTCGTGGGAAAGGAGATGCACTGTCTGCCTGGTGCCACAGACATGTTTTTCCTGCTCATTGCCAGGAGCTAAGTTTAGGAGCAGTCCTGTTGCTAGGGCTAGGAGTTTCTTTGCCATTCCTCTGGGTTGTCTCAGCCCTCTGGGCTCTTACTGAAGGCCGGGACTTTTCATTTACACTGCCAGAGGGGTGTGGGTGTTGCCAGGGCAGTTTCATCCTAGGCATCAGAACTTTTAAGGTGTTTGACCCAGCAGTTCATGTGTAGTCGTTTGTCTAAGGAAATAGCCAAGGGTGTGAGTAGAGGTTTGGTGAGGGAAGATTCTTCTTCTGTTAGCTAAAAATCTGCCTCCCCTTAACTATGCCAGCAAGGAGTATATTGAGCAAATCAAGTGCTGATTGTAGGATGGAAGACAGCTATTAAAGATGTTGTAGGAATGTGTTCACTAACACCAGAGTTTTCAATGGTAAGTGGTTGGCCATAAGATCAGTTATAAAGCTGTATAGTGTGACATCATTTTACTAAACGTTAAACACAGCTGTGTGGAAATGCTGGAAGGCTAATAGTTAACTCAGATGTTAATAATGCTTGCTTTTGAGTAGTGGAATCAGCATTGCTTTTGAATTTTATTCTTTTGGTTTGCCTGGTATTTTCTGATTTATTTTGTACAACTTATGTGTACCCTTAATGGGAGCAAGTAAAGTTGATCCTGCAGTGCATTAGTAATGACACAGTCTCCAGCTGTGATGGCTGGCTGCCTCCCTGGATATGGAAAAGTATGAAGAAAAAGCAAAAAAACAAATAAGCAAAATCTATCACCAACCAGTAAAACGATGCCCATCACTTTAAATATACCTCAGAGCAAGTCTAATCAAGAGAGAAACTTTATAAGACTGCTGCCCCATTGTATGTTCTCTTTCAAATAGTCTGGATTAAGTTCACCTTACTTCATGGAAGAAAATGAAAGTAAAGAGGCACTGAAGAGTTACTGAGAAAGAAGAACTTTTAAAAAAGTACCTGGCATTGGTTGCTGTACCATGTTAGCAGCAAATCTCTCAGTTTTAAAATGCTCAGTTTAATGTTTTGAAACTTTTACTTTCAGAATTTATTCCTTGCATTTTTAGCTCAGGAGTAAAGGAAGACAGGATTTCCACCATCAACATCTTGTTATCCACACTGAAAACAAAGGTATGTGTTTGGTGGTCTGTGTTTCTATCACTTGTTCTTACGAATGAAGAAATGGTCCCTAGTGTTTTACAGGGCTCTAGAGTCTACCAGTATGCACATCGAGTAGAAAACAGCTTCTTGCACAGAAGCTTGGTCTTGGTAGAGTGAGTCCTGGGGCCAGCAAGTTGAAGAGCTAAAGCAGCTAAGACTGCCCTTTTGTGAAGGTGAAAAGCTGTTAGTTAGCAATTCACAGGAACCCAGTGTAATAATTTTGAGCTATAAATTGCAGATAATACTTCATTTACACATCTAGCCAAGTGGTAGTTTGTGTCATGTTGCATATTCTGTCTTTTTCAAGCATCTTAGAGAAATTTGAAAATTTGCTAAAAGGATCATTGTCTTTAATTCAGTCACATGTTAAATTAAGAAACAATGAAAGTTGTCAAAAGTCCACATAAAAATATCTGATAAATGTGAAAAGTTCACTTTCAGTAGTATTGAAACATTCCTTCTCAACTCGGGGCAATTTGGCTCTCTACCAGGAACATTTGGTGATGTCTGGAGACATTTTTGGTTATCACTACTGGAAAAACAACTGGCCCTACACATCCTTCAGTGCATAAAACAGCCCTAGAGTGTCTGCAGAGCCAAGGCTGAGAAGCCCTAACTTAAAGTGATACAAATAATGGCATACACTTTTTCCCTACCAAAATAGCATTGATCTTTTAGAACAACGATACTCAGTGCTAGCAAAGGTGTGGTGAGTCTAGTACTTTCCTGGAGCTGCAGCCCCTGCGTGGGGCAAAGGCCTTACCTATGTTTACGAACCCTATTTATGGTTGCTACGAAAGGGGCCTTTTCATCAGAGCCACCTAGGGATGCGTTTGTGGACCATCCGCCAGAGATTTCTGGGGTAGCTTTGGGTGGGGCTGTGAACTTGGGCCACAATTCCATTTGTAAGAACCTGTGCCAGGTCCTTGTCCCACAGGCGTGGAAACAGCCTGATTGTGAACTCCAGGGGATGGTGAAATAGGTTAGGAGCCACTCCTAACATGGAATGCTATTTAGCCCTCCAGAATGATATTCCAGAGGAATTCTTAGTGATAAGTAAAGGAGGGACAAAGCCATATTTAAACATATTTTCAGGCAAAAAAAACCTAACCCATCATCTGCATTGTTGTATGGTAGGTGGGGCTGAAAGGAAGCACACAGAGAGGTAGCTGACTGTCCTAAGGGATGGGCATATTGCTGAATTCTGTACTTCTGTATTTCTCTGTATACTTTAACTTTTTCTTTTTTTCATTGACCAAATTGCCATCAGCAAATGTTATTTTTATAATGATAGGGAAACAATGAATGCTATTTTAAAGGTAATTGAATTCTGTGCTTTATTTGTTTTATTATTGTTTTTAGGTAGTTCACAACAAAAACATCACCAAAACACAAAAGGTGCGTTTCTTCACGGGGCAGTTGCTGAATCACATAGCATCTCTGTACAGCTGGAACGGAACTATGGATGTCACTCCAGAAAACCCGGAGGATGCCAAGGTACTGTCACTGGATTTTAGTTGACCTCGTCATGGTGTATGATCCTCACAGTCAGGAGACAGAAGCATCTCAGTGCTTCTTTTTTCTTGTAGTTACATCACTTAATTAATTCTTTACTGGATGCAATATGATTTTTAAATTTTTATATTTCTACAATAAGATTTTTAATCTAATCTTGGAATTATGATAGTAAAATGACTTTTAGAAACTTTTTTGGCAGTACTGGGGTTTGAACTCAGGGCCTCACACTTGCTAGGCAGGTATGATACCATTTGAGTCACTCTATCAACCTGTAAGCTAACTGGCTGAGTGACACCCTAACTTTCCTCACAGTGCCCACCCCATAGATCTATAGGATTCCTCTTGGCTCTCTTTTCTTCCTCTCACTTGGCCTCTTCCTTTCCTTCCTTCCATTCTTTCATATCTGATTTTTGGAGTTGATTGACTCAAGCCCAGTGTGCATTTTGCTTTTCTCAGGGTGGTTTCTGAATGTGGAGTTGGCAGTGGAGTAAAGGCTCTCAACTTTCCTGTTAACATTATGATAATGCACCTCTCGGGCTGACTATTTTGCTTCCTTCTATCTTGGAGACTTGCCTGTGTCCACTTGTTTTTAACATGTTTTTATATGCTCCTTTATAAGGAAGCCCCTCAGGCTTAATAAAAAACACTCCCAAATGTGGAATTTCATTTAAAAGTGCAAGACAAATTAAGTCATTTTTAAGCTTTTAAAAATACAGGTTTCAGCTTGCCCCTCCCTTTATCTCAATTAGCATATCTGTTTTGGGGGTGGTTCTTTGTTTGCTTTTGGGAATTATACCAAGTGTTTGATTCCAAGTTTTGTCTGGTGATACTGTCCTGTTTTTATTCTGTAGCTCTTACTGATGTTCCTGGGCTTGGGATTCTTTGAGTTTAGGTTTTTTTTTTTTAACTCTCATAGATGTCTGCTGAAGAAGCAGGGAAAGCCATGGTGAGGGAGCTCGTACATAACTTCCTGACAGATCTTTGCTGTTCGCGCAAGCACGGGATTAATTTTTATGATGCATCTTTGGGTACCTTCGGCAGGTAAAATATAACACTCTGGGGTTCCCCAGTGTATGTGTTCCTTAAAAGCCATCATATCCTGGCTCTCCAGTGGAAAGCAGTTAAATTATGTGGGCGTAATAAGCTAGAGTTGGAGTTGTGGACATTACCTCACTCATCTTAAGGGTGACCAGTGTGAGGCCTGGAGAGCTCTGGTCACTGCATGTCCCCATGGGTGGGTTTTAAAGGTAACAATATATAGACACAGAGAAAATGGTATGTTTCACCGGCAGAGGTGTTATATGTGTTTACCTAATAACACTGATGTCAGCTGGATCTGGAAATGCATCCCTTAAGGGACCCCTCCCAGGGAGGCCCTGACATGGGCCTAACAGTAATTCTAAAGTGGGTGCCATTGTTCCCCCCGATTTGCAGAGGAGGAAAATGGTTACAGAGGGGTCAAGGCACTTACCCAGGTGAGTGGCAGAGCCTGCATCCAATCCGAAAGCCTGGACAGCTCAACATCCCCATCCTTCTGTAGTGATAGGCTCCTGATGAAGTAGGCTGTCATGTGGTGGCTTACATTTTGTTTCCTGTTTCACAGTCATCATAACATTTCATTAGTATGGAAACAAAGTCCAAATTTACTGGTTTCAGTTATGTTCTTTTAGACTTTTGCCTTGTCAGATAACTGTGGTACATATCCACATAACTTTTAAATAAGCCACATGGACCACTGTTCATCAACCTGTTTTCTCTTTTGACAGTAAACATATTGTATACTTTCACCCCGTATTACCACCAAAAAAAATTGAATGTATTTTCTCGTCACTGAACGATTTTTTTTTTTCCTACCTTGATGGCATAGTATTTTGCTGTAAGAACTCAGATGGTTTGATTTAACTTGTAGTTTCACACAGTTAGGAAATGCCTAATTCCTTCAGAAGGATAACCCCGTGAGAAGTCTTCTATCTGCTTGTAACTTTGGACTTGTTTTTAGATTTTTCTGATGTAACTTGTTCCATCATTTATTTTACTTTTTTTTAAACTTTTTTTTTTTTGGTGGTAGTGTAGCTTTTTCTCATCAGTGAGAATGGGCTCATTTTCCTGCTAAAATGTCTAACTACATACAGCCTAATAACCATACTTAAGACACATGTTTTCCCCCTTTTTCAGTGCATTTTTTCCCTTCATAACTACACCTGGAAAGATGATTACTTACTGAGCATATTGAATCAACTTGAGGGCATGGATCTTTTTGGAATAGGCTGTGGTTTATTTGACTTTTTGAAGCCACTGGCAAACAACAAGTGTTTGTGCTTAAGGGGGAAAAGGGGAGTTGTGGTTGTAGATTGTAAGGGACAGTTAAGAAAATTGAAAGGCATGGCTTGTCCCCTCATTTCATTCAGGTCCCTGCACAAATTCACTGGTGGTTTCAGGGAGGCTGGCCCTGATGGCCCTTTCTGAAATAGCCTCACTGCTTTCACTGTCTGGCCTAGGTTCCTGTGACTTCTCACCACTTTGCATAATTCTTTGCTTGTTCATTGTCTTCTTGGTGAGAACAGCCACTGGTCTGGTCTGTTTGGTTCCCCAGTACCTATGATGGTGCCTGCACATACTAAGTGTTCATTGAAAACAAGGAGTTAAGCCTAGAGCAAGGGTTGGCAAACCTTTTCTGTATAGGACCAGATGGTATCTTAAGCTTGATGGGCCATGCAGTCTCTGACTACTTAGCTCAGCCATTTTAGCGCTGAAATGCCCATAGACATGGACAAATCTGTGCAACTGTTCCAGTAAAACTTCTGTTTCCAAAGATGGGTGGGGGGCTGTAGTGCAGCAGCCCCTAGTATGCATGTCAAGAGAGCAGACTCTCAAATCAGACAGCCAGACTCTGATCCAACTTAACCACAAGGCCTTAAGCAGATTCTGCATCCTCTCTGCTTTGATCACATTTTCTGTAAAATGGAAATAAAATTAGTGCCTGCCAGAGAGGTGACACCTAGTAACTTCCAGGAACAGCATCTGGCATGCATTGCCACTCTGAAAATTTCAGTGCTATTCATTTTATTGCATTGTTTATTGAAATAATGTATGTGTAGTACTTTATCACTTTTGTGAATTTAATGTTCTATAAACTATATACACATTATATATGTGTGTGTATATATTATCTATGTATCATCCTCTCAGAAGAAAAATGCCTTACCTATACTTTTTTATACTCCCAAACATGTGCTTACAATAATGTGTTTTGTAGAAGTCAGTAGAATCTCAAAATGAAATTTGGAGCTGGGCACTGGTGGCTCATGTCTTGGGAGACTAAGATTAGGAGGATCTTGGCTTGAGGCCAGCCTGGGCAAATAGTTCATGAGACCCCATCTCCAAAATAACCAGAGCAAAATGGACTGGAAGTGTGACTTAAGCGATAGAGAACCTGCTTTGCAAGGGTGAACCCCTGAGTTCAAACCCCAGTCTCACCAAAAAAAATGGGAGAGAAGTTCTTACCATAAAGAAATGATAAATGTTTGAAGAGATAAATATGTTTAACTTGATTTAAACATTTTACACTATGCATGTATTGAAATCTTACACGGTACTCCATTAATATGTATAATTTTATATTTTTATGTATCAGTTAAAAAGTAAATTTTAAAAAACCAGTGGCAGCAGAGTGTTCTATTCTAAGAGCATAATTATTCAATAAATGTCCCCTGAATTGAGTGCAGAAAAAAATTTGGGAGAGATTCGTCCCTGCCAGTTTTGCTCTTTCTTAACAGTAGTCTTGACTTGTAGGCAGACTGTAGCTGACTGGGCTTATTAGAGACACTGGCTTTCCGCTTCCTCTTCAGATGTCATTTTGAACTCTGGGAGGGAAGAAGGGAAGCAGAGACAGGGGCAGGACAAAGTAGAGACCTTTTCAGTCACTAGAAGTAGAGGAGGGATATCAGGAAATTAACACCCTGTGGTGGAGAGCTGGAATCTCACAAACACCCTTCTTTGTGCCCTGGGGGAAATTTACCTACTGCCATGTTGCCTGGGTCCCTGAGACTGACTCCAGAGCTAAGTGTATTTGAATGTTCCTTGCTGACCCCTTTGTTTTGTCCTTGTCCCCAACAGAGGAGGCAACCTAACACTCTTACACTTCCTGTTGGGTTTGAAAACTGCAGCTGAGGATGAGCTGGTGGCTGAGCTTGTTGTGAGCATCCTTAAAGTGTGCCCGGACTTGCTGAACAAGTACTTCAAGGAAGTCACACTCTCCTTTCTCCCAAGAGTGAAGTCCACTTGGCTAAATAATATCAAGCTGCTGAACAAGGTACAAAACAGTATGTAGAATCTGTTAGCTAGGGGAGAGTGGAGCATAAGGAGTTGGGGAGAGCTGGGCATCGTGACATGCGGTGTGAAAACTTCCCAGGGATAAAAGGGAGACTTTAGGTGATGGAACTTGGATGATCTTGGCCACTGGAGCATTTTGCTTCCCCTGAGATAAGTTTTGAAGTTTGCTCCTTTGCATCTCTGGAGCCAGTTTGCCTTCTTCATGAATCTCAGCACAGTTAGGCTGGAATTAGTGAAGTGTCTGAACCATACGATGGTTTAACGATTGGATTCAAGTCCTTGGAGCAACTTAAAGCTGTGAAATCTTGAAGTAGATGTGCATGAATCCCCTCGTCTGCCAGAGCAGGTACAGGTTGAATGGCCCTCACTCAGTGCTTGGGACCAAAAGGACTTCAGATCTCAGAGGCTTTCAGATTTGGGAATATTTGCATGGACTTTAGTGGGTGAGCAACCCTGACCCAGAAATCTGAAATCTGAAGTCCAAAATGCACCAAGGTAGGAAACTTTACAGTGCCATCTTGATGCTTGAAAAGCTTTGGGCTTGGGACTTTCAGGTTAGGGATGTACTTACTGTATGTTCTTTGGTGGTAAAGCCTGGCTTGGTTAAGCTTTGTCTTTCTCTCTGATTTATGCCTGCCTACTGGTGAAATACCTGGGATTGTTTTCTTGTGCCTCAGTTTGGACCTGGTATTATCTGTAAACCAGCTTTATCCATGCAGCCTATAACTTTTCCTTGAGGGTCCCATGTGTATCTCCTGATGAGAAGGATGCAGCTTGCCCCCATATGAGGAGGGTGGTCCTATGGTCAGCTTCCTTCCTGAGAGCTGCTTCTGGTGCTGCCCTCCAGGGCTGGCAAGGGCCAAGTGTATGGTGTTTGCAGCCTGACGCCAGTCTAGCCTTTTCTTGTTTTTTACTAGCCACGTGGTCAGAAAAAAATTAACTTAAGTTCAGTTTTGCCATCCATAAGCACATTTTTACTGTTAAGTGTTCCTACTCCAAAGGGCTGTTGTGAAGCATTAAAAGGATGATGTGATCTTCTGGTGCCTGTGGGGCAGCAGTGACTGGCAAGTGAGACTATTGTTAGTACTAGCATAGTCCTGGCAGGGGTATCTTCTCCATCAGAGGATTAAGGGGCTCTCTGGATGCCAGCCATGCTCTGCCTTGGAGGCCACTGCTCTGGTCATGGCCAGCCTTGTGACCTGACTTACATAATCACTGGATTTGGGGGCTAATCTTTCAGAATCTATCCCTTGTGGTAAGTCTGATCTTTATCACTGTAATTATTTGATTACAGCAGCTTCACCATTAGATGCCTACAATGAACTTCAGGTTTAGAAATGTCCTCTGACACCCTCTAAGTCTCTTTTCTCCTTTTCCAGATCTATGAGGCCCAGCCGGAGATTTCCCGGGCACTGTGGACCAGAGAGTTTATCCCCTTGCCACGGCTCCTAGCAATGGTGATGGTGACCACAGTGCCCCTGGTGTGCAATAAGATCATGTTCACTCAAGCATTAAATGTAAGGGCTTGGGTTCCACTTGTGGAACTTTCTCCTGCTGAATTTCTGGCTGTGTGTGTGATTGCTTTGGGATTACCAGCCCAGCTTTGTTTGATTGTTCTGTCAGGGAGGCTTCCAGGACTGGCCTTCATTTAAAGTAGCCCATGAGTTCAGTTCCACTCACGTGCAGTAAACATCTTGAAGCACAGCCCCCTCCTTCCAAGGGTGATTGGTGTCATGTCCTCATCTCTGCTCCAGCACACGGTGGGGCCTGTACATCTCTCCACACTTCTGTAGTCCTGCCTGGGGGTGGGAGAATGTTAGACTCAAAGAAAAGGAAGTTCCTTTATTAAAATTTCATTTCTGGACAGGATGGGACAGAAATTTGCCAGCAAATCCTTTCTTTCTTGGTTCAAGTGAATAGTGTTAAAATTTCTGGGGAACATTTACTTTGAGGATCTGCTATTTTCAGGTATTTCTGGAGGACATGTTTATGGAAAGCTCCGATACTTAAATTTCACATCACTATTTATTTTAGAGGTCCCAGGTCCCATTAGAACCCACATTCTGAGGGGTTTATATATCTTTCATCACAGTATCCTGGGCGTAGGTGATGGCTATGAGTTGTTGGCACACTTTGGTTCTGGGCCTTGCTAGGTAGCCTAAGACATACCTGGGAAGATAAGGCATTCGGAAGACCGTCTCCATCCTTCTGGGGAGGCTGGAACAGCCATGGTGCACTGCGCAGGCCTGAGTGGCTCCGTGGTAGTCGAGGGCACAGTCACTGTGAGGTGGTGTGGAGTCCTAAAGCTGTGCAGTGGGATTTTTGATCCTCATCCAGGGTTTGTGCTGAGCAGAGAGAAGGAGGCCTTTGAGAGATTAGGCAGAAAAGTCTTTTGTTCTGTTTGCCAAATCATCATATGAAAAATGAGGACCTGGCTAGCTTGCCCATCTTTTTTGTGGGACATGCTGATATTTCCTAAGGGGCTAGTAGGAAAATCGCATTGAGAGGAACATGTCGAATGCAGCTCCTTTGAGGCTGACTTCCCCTCTTATGGTGTTGTCTCAGGACAAGGATTGTGCACCTTAGAGGGGTGTCCATACCCTGGATGGAGTTACTTAGAGTAAACAATGACTTGGCTCTCTCTGCTCCTGGAGGCTGCCGTCCTATGCAGGCCTGGGTCCATCGAGCCCCAGTCTTGCCCCTGTGCCCAGTGCCTTTCTCAAGAGCTGAGACTGTTTGCCTATGAATGGGGCCCAATAGTGCATGCAGCTCTAGGGCTGCGATTGTGGGTTGTTTTTGCCTTTCCTTACAGTGTTGCCTGGGAACTTTCTAACAGCCTACATTTTAGAACCGGAAAGAGAAGAGTTAGCTTATTCTGGACACGGGAAATAGGAGGGCTAGAGCAGGATCTCAGGCTGTTGAGCTTTGTGCTCTAGTCCTCTAGGTGCCGTGTGCACGCTTGTTGGTGCCTGCCACTGAAGGAGTTGCAGCACTGGAGCCATCATTGCTTAGAATATGTCATATGTCCTGAAGTGTTCAGTGTCCACATAAAGTGAAACTTGAGTTAACGGGCATGCTGAGGCACTGGGCTGTCAAGGTTCTTAAACTAAAAGTCAACCAGAAGGCCTGTTTCCATGTACTGTGAATCTGCAGCATCCCAGATACGGGTCTTATAAAGATGCACATTGTGCTTGAGTGTGCTGTGGCCAAGACTCTATACTTCTCTGTATACCAGGAGCTCCCAGAGCTGGCCAGAGCCTGGGCTTTTCCCTCATTTTGTTAATATCACAAGTTCTTAAGCCTTACTCAATCTCTGCAATCAGTGAGGATTTTGAAGACCCTCCCAGTTACCATCTGAATAGAAGTAGAGAACTCTGGGTATCAGAGGTCCATGGTATGGGTTACTTGTTGTATTAGTGCATTTTCTGTTGCTAAAACAAAATGCCTGCAGCTGGATACTTGTGAAGAAAAGAGATTTATTTAGCTCACAAATTTGGAAGCTGAAAGTCCAAGATTAGCCCCAACTCTTTGGTCTGTGGCAAGTGCCCCTTAGCTGTGTCACAGCATGGTGTTTCGGTAGAAGGGGAAATAGGGTATGTGCAGAAGGGAGACCATGTGTTAAGACAGAAAGCCGGCGACTAGTGAGGGACCAGACTTTTTGTAACTGTCTGCTCTCTTAGAAGCTAAGCAGGGTCCCATGGGAAGTACATTAATCTCCTCTGAGGATGGCACCCCCATGATCTAAGCACCTTCCACTAGGCCCTCCTCTTAAAGGTTCTACCATCTCTCGGTAACACCACATTGGGGACCAAGCTTACAGCACATGCACCTCTGGTGCATCCCAAATATAGCAGTTGCCTATTGAGTTGGGAGGTTTTTCATCCTGAAGAACCCGGGTGTCCTTGTGCAATCTCCCCACCTGATGCTGCACACTGATTTTAACAGTGGTGATGGGTTATGAGATCTTGGTGCTGTGAGTGCAGATGTCTCAGCTAGGTGGTGGGAGGCAGCTCACTGAAGAGCAGTTCATAAATCAAAACCAACTTCTTTCCTGGCAACTGCTGAGGAAAGGTACAGAGGGTGTCTGGGGGCAAGGTCCCCGGGGCTTCCTCTAACTGACCTAATCAGGGGGAAGAGCCAGTTTGCAGGGCTTGGGAAATCTGTCCTCTTTGTCCTCCCAGGTAACCTGTGGATTAACTCTCTTCTTCCCAGCTGGACAGCACATCGGTGAGACACACAGCTCTATCCCTTATTTCCTTCATTTTGAAGAGAGCATTAAAAACGGTTGACCACTGCCTGAATAAAGAGGCATGGCAAGAATCAGGCGTGTACACAGCTGGGATGATGGAAGAATTCGTGCAGCACTTCAGAGAAGCCCTGAGTAAGGTGGGCACAGGTCCAGGATTAGGTTTCCCCACAGACCTCACCATACACCACAGCAGGGAGGAAGGGCTGCCCAGAGGGTGGGAGCTGAAGAACAGGTCTGTGAGGCTGCAGGATGGGAGAGGCTGGTGGGCAGTGTTACGGCACACTGCTAAGGGTCAGCTGATAAAACTGCCATGCACGTGTGGGCTTGTGTGTGTGTGACACTTAGAGCACAGTGTATGAGTCCTTGGCTGAGATAGGAATTCAAACGAAGTGCTTGCTTTTCCATGGAAACAGCAGGGTTCTGGGTTTGGAGGGCTCTCAAGTATCATCAGAAGCTGTGTTGTGCCCCTTCCCCTTGCTTTGTGCTGCACACACATGTGAGAGGGGTCCGGATGGCTCAGGGAACCCCTTCTATAATTAACTGGTTCTGCTGCTAAAGAAGGCAAGGCACCTGCAAACCAGCTAGCCACTCAGTGTGCCCAGGTCAGCAGGGCAGTTTCCCTGGAATGGGTCGTAAGGAAGCTTTCTTCATCTCGATGCTGGGCTCAGGTGGAGGAGTTGAGTCCGTTTTCATTATCAGCTCTATTTTACCACCAAATCCTCAGTGTGTACAGTTCTAGAATTACACAGCAGAACAGAGCTTACAATGGCTGTGGGCATGTTCTCACCCTGCCTTTCTGTCTTTCTCTTGCACACTCATGCCCATGTGTTCTGCTTACATTAACACTCAGGCACGCCTAGATGTGCTTATCCACCCCCCCACCCCCACCCCCACCCCCGTTCAGTTCATTTATTCTCTTCGTTGTTTAATATGACTGACTATTTGCTTCTTTTTCCCATTTAGATTTTGCCAGATCTGAACACTATTGTGTGGGTCTGGCAGTCACTTAAAAAGCAAGAGATTAAACAGGATGATGAGAAAGGGAAGAAAAAAGGTGCTGGGACTCCAGCTGCCCATGAGGCTGTCCAGCGCAGTGAGTACTTTGAGGCCTCTGCTGTTTGGGAGAAAGATGGCAGGTAGCCTGTGGGACTGCTATGTACAGCGTCCTCAAGCACTCTTTGTTACAAGGTCCTTCTGGCTGTGAATGTATCTCATGTCCTTTTATGCTCAGGGAGGTAAATTAGAGTGGAATTGTAGATTGAGTTTTAATATATTAGAAATGTGCCTGGGCTTTTTACAGACATGTCTCTGAAGACTTGATGGCTAGGGGCCATGTGAATAGGCAGTGGGGACTCTTGTTTGCTCTGGAGATAGAGGTGGGCTGCATGGCCCCCTTGTATTAAAATGTACTATTGACTGGGAGGTAGTCTGTGTCTAGGTCCTGGTTAATCCTTAGAGCAGCCTGTGTGGGTGGGCCCTGCTGTGTCCCCACTGCTCGGATGAGGACATGAAAAAACAGGCAGGGTAGCTGTACTATGTCCAAGGCCATAGCAACGAAACAGAACTTAAACCCAGGTGCTTTCACAGTTCTAACCTTTTTTACCACATTGACGCCATAAATCTAGTTACTGGGGATCAGTCTGTAGCCTGCATTCAGCATTGCAGCTGACTGGGATGTGTCAGATGTGGCTTGGCTGCTACGTTGATGGAGGACAGAACAAGTAAGTTTCCTAATTCAAACTGTTTTTTTTGGTGCAGACGATGCAGAAACTATCCTTTTGAAAGCTGTTCTCCTCCAGGTCATATGTCTTTACCAAAAGGTGGTCCCCATCATGGTAATGCAGTACAACTTTGACTTCAGCAAACTCCTGAAAGGTGGGTCTCAGGAACTGCAGGTGAGCCTCCTCTGCATCAGTCAGTGGGGCTGAAGGAAGTGCTGATAAGTCAGAGCTGAGCCCTAGAGCCGAGAATCAGGAAGACTGGCTGGAAGTTTACCTGTGTGCATGATCTGCAGCCTGGTTACTTTTTCTATTCTTTTTATTGTTGTTGTTGTTGTGGCAGTACTGGGGCAGTACTCAGGGCCTCACACTTGCTACGTAGGCACTCTACCACACTTGAGCCAGTCTGTCAGCCCTAACCTGATTAGTTATATTTGGACCAATATTTTCCAAATAGCTGGGTTTCCATAAGTAAATATTATTTGAACACTTAACATAAGCAGTGACGGTGAGGAAAGGGAAAGCCATCAGCCTAAGTGCCCTTTTGTGGATAGTGCACAAACCAGGTCATATCATGCTTATTCTCAGCTCCCTTTCAAAGGTGCAGGGGCACAGAGTGTAGAGTAAAAAAGAGCCCCGTCATGAGGAGGAACTTCAGACATGGTTACCTTGAGTTTTACCTCAGTGAGTCGTGTTCAAACAACATCTCATTATGCTTGTCTAATCATGGCTCCCTGATGGTCAAGTTTGCCTAATAAAATCGATTTTACAGTTGGGCTTACAAAAGAAGACTTGCAAAAGTAGCACTCTTGGAATTTTATATAAGCTCTTGAAACATCATTTTCAAGAGCAGTAATTAGCTTTGTACTCATTTGAAGGTGAAAGGTTCTCTTTTCAGTGGGAACATGAAATTTACAGTGTGTGACCTTTTAGGACTGAGTAGCTGTGTGCTTCCCAAACAAAGGAGAGACTCGGAGACCAGGCTAGAGAATAAGGCTCAGTGGCCACAGTCTGTGTCCACAGAATGCCTGCAATTTGAGCAGCAAGGCCTATGCACCATACAAGGGGCACCACCCATGTGTAGTGTGATTCTAGGTGTGGGATGGGATCAGCGTGGGCTGAGTGGTAGGGAAGGGTTATTATGAGCAAGAGTGGTTTGGATAGACTGGGGTCGGAGAATGTGGGTAAGGTGTGCGTCATACAGCTGGATAAGGAGGAACAGACCCACGTCCCTCCTTTGTCTTGTCTTCTCTGGGCCTGTGGGCCAGGGCAGCAGTTGCTGGGCATCCACTTCTGGGTGACTTTGTCTGTTTTCCTCACTTCATCCACAGGTGTCATCTCTGAGCAGGGCCTTCGTGAGGAGGTCCCTCCCATTCTGCAGCACCACATGCTGAAGGTGGCCCTGGAACTGCCTGCCAACAAATTCTTGTGGTTAAAGGCACAGGTAGGAAGCCTAGATCTCCAGTCTTCTGTCATTCTCTAAGCTGCTAGGATTGTTGGCTTTTGTCTCAACTCTTTTACATTTTTCTTACCATTTTAAAATGTTTTTAGAAAGAAAATACATTCTGTTACCTTTGTCCTCATTCTGGAAGGACTTAAGACAAAGATGAGAATAGACACTATGCCAGCAGAGAGCTGAGGCTGATGGAAAAGGCAGCAGATGTGACTGGCAGTGTCTGTATCTTCTGTAGCATCTTCAGGACTCTAGGAGAACACAATGTTGACTCGTACAGAGACGCTGAGGATGTAACCAATGTTCACCTGTGGCTGTGAGCCCCAGGTGCTGCACTAGTTGTTCTGTGCAATGAGGGGGAAATGACAACCAAACTCAAACTTGTCTTAGTGTGCGTCTCAGTAGCTCAGATTGTCCTTTAAAAGGTTTAATCTTATGTATGATTTCCATATGGAACCAGTAGCTTAGAAATGAGTGCTGGCATTTATACATGTGATGTTTCCAGAAAGGCCTAAGAGTGCTGTGGCACTGGCGTCTGTGGATCATCCCATGAAGTCCCCTTTCTCAGCTTCTCTACAGTGGAGTTGGGAATAGCTCCTACTGAGAACTTACACATTTCAGGGTGCATACATGTGCTTTGCATGGTGCCTCAGCTCACACTGTGTAAAGTCAAGACGCTGAGGCACAGAGCAGTTAAGACACTTCTACAAGGCCCCAAATGAACGTGGTGGGTCCAGGATGGGGACCAGCAGTGCTGCCCAGAGCCCTGCTCTCAGTACATATGCCATGCTCTGAGGTCACTGCCTCCATCCCACAAAGCAACAGGTGGGATATTGCTGATTAATTTTCATGCCAGCTGAGCTGGGCCAAAGGATGTTGATGATTTAGGTGGAAAGTGAAGAGAGGCCTCTTAATGTGGAAGAACTGGTATTAAGACACAGCCTGCACCCACATTATGATTCTGTAGGATGCATCTGCTGGTGTGCTCAGGTGCACCCAAGCTCAGGGGCATCTTCCCTGCAAAGCACAGAGAGTTAACAGTGAATGTGGGTGAACTGGAGCTCCACGCACTTCTCTGAGGCCTGTGTTCAAAGCCTAGAAGCCTTTTTAGGGGCCTATACCATGCCTAGGGAGTGGATTATATTCACTCTGGTATCCTGATGCATTGCAACTAGTGCAGATTTGGATGGTTTCAGGCAACCCAGGGTACCTCCTCATCCATTGAGTGCATAGTATCTGCACTGAGCTCGGTCCTCAATTTCCTCATGTCAGATAGGGTAACATCTGTGCCACCTCCCCAAGTTGAGGGAGGATGAAGTGAGTTGAAGTGAAGTGGTCAGGACCCCAGAGTGTAGGCATGTGGAGAGGGCTGCCTGTGCTTGCTGTTGTGACTCCATCACCACAGTGTTGTGTGTGGCTTTGAATGAGTTACCTCACCTTGAGGCTCCCTCTATGTATATCCCAGGACTGGGATCTGACTGGTAGTTAAATCAAGATGGGGTGAAGAGCCTGGGAGTGTTCTGGGCATGCAGTTGCCTGTTTGCTCCACAAGTAGTGGCCCTTGTTATTTTTATAATATGTAATTATATGCTAAAATTTTATGTATATAACTATATATGTTGAAGACATATAATCATGTTCAAACTGTAGGAAGGCCCGGATGCAGAAATTATTGGAGGAGACCGATCCGTGTTTTACTTACTGATGAAGATGTTTGTGACCAGTAGCCATTTACACCTCAAGTCTTCCACCAAACTTCTGATCGTGAAGGTCAGTGTTTTCTACTAGTTTCCAAGTCTGAACTTGTTCGAGTGGCTCTTCCTTATAGTAGCTTGAGTTCAGGATTTATTAGGACAGTAGTAAACTTTAATATATTTTGTTTATTTGCAGTACTAGGGTTTGAACTTAGGCCTCATACTTGGCAGGCAGGTTCTCTACTACTTAAGCCCTGCCCCCAACTTTTTTTGGCTTAGTTTATTTTTCAGATAGGGTCTCACAGTATTTGCCCAGGGGCCAGCCTCGGACTGTATTCCTCCTACCTCTGCCCTCTGTATAGCTGGAATTACAGGTATGAACCACCACACCTGGCCCCATAAATTTTTAAATAAAAAGTTTTAGGTTTTAATGTGGTGTATGTTAAACTTAATTGCATTCCTGAGAGGCAGCATAGTGAAGTGGTTAAAATCATGGGCTTTGAACTCTGATTCCTAGATTTGAACCTTGGTTTTACTCCTTCCAAGGTGATATTGAGAGAGGGTACTCTCTGAACTTAGTTTTCCCATGGTGAATGGAGGGTAATAAAACCATAGGGTGACAGAGAAGATTAAGTGTGATTAAAGTTGTAGCACATTACAGGCACAATAAATACTGTATTCCACTCTTTGGGGAACTGTTGTTAGCTATGCCTCTTCCCACATTCCTGGACTATGGGCCTTCTCTGAGACTTTTAGGCCTTTTGACCTTGTCTGTGACCCACAGGGCAGGTATTCTGAATCATGGAGGGAGGAGGACTCAGTGCGCTTGTCTCTTTTGGATACCGTGCTGTTTGGTTTTCCAGGGTTGTGGCAGTAATGCATCTGTGCCTCGTTTCTGCTGTGCAGCAGACATGTGAACATGGTGGGTGCTATATGAGTCACATTCACTATTTTTAGGATGCAAAGATGTGACTGTCACCTTTACTTGAAGAGCTGGTAATCTCATTGCCTTCCCCCCGGAGCTGCTTAAAGATTGTGGCTGCCTGAGTCTTTGCCTCCACGTTGCCTTCTCCTCATAGGCAGTGCAACTGTAGACCCTACCCCAGCCAGATTTCATGGCTGCTAGCTACAAAAGTGGAAGCATCGCATTCAGGGTTTTGATGCACAGTGTTGCTGCTTAGCCCCCAAGTCTCGTCATCAGGAGGTCATTAGCAGGGATATGGCTTACTCAACACTGCACATTCAGATCCTGCCTCATACCATGCTCTTTCTGGTGGAAATAGAAGCTTCTTGCCCACATCTGAGTCTTGAGGTGCCACATCCAAATGGTGTGATGTGACTAGCTCCTTGGAGAATTTCCTACAGGCCAAGGGTTGAGTTGCTATAAGGCATAAGTCTTGGACATTTACCTGGATCTTTGTGAAAATCCAGATAGAAAACTAGCCCTTCTGTGTAGCAACTGAATCTTTTCCCTTCTTACTACAAATTTAGGAAGTGAGGAAAAGAAATTACATTGTGATGGGGCAGCCGTAACCTCTTTCCCTGGTGTTCCTGGACAGTGGGGTTGTCACTTTGAAACAGCAGCTTGCAGAGTAATGTTTGGCTGCCATGCTCACCTCTTTGTGCTTCCAGGTCTCGTGGTCTGGTGTGGCATGAACCCCGCACCTCCCACTGAAAGTAGGTTCTGTGCTGACCTTTGCTCCACATCTGCTTGCTGACAGATTCTGCGGGATACAGGCGTGTTTGAGCACACCTGGAAGGAGCTGGAGCTCTGGCTGGAGCACCTGGGTAGCACCATGGAAGAGAGCAAAGAAACTGTGATCCAGTTTCTGGAACGTGTAAGCACAGGTGCCCCAGCAGAGTTGCATGTCCGGGACAATTACACTCCTGTACCCTTGAGCAGAATTGATGCCCAGTGCCAGGAAGACACTTGTGGTGGCTCACGCCCTATGGGCTGAGTTTCATGGTCCCCTAACTTTGGAGCCTGCCAGACAGGAATTCGTTACTGCATGTCTGTTAAGCTCCTTTGCACGTGGGAGTAAGCGGATCCTAAAAGCAGTAGCATGTTAAGAGGAGATAGTTTTTGAACTGTGCAACAAAAGTTTTTTTTAAAAATCTTGACAATAAAATTTTTGTTGTTACTAAGGACAGCCAACATGTTAGCACTTCCCTTGATCTGGAGCAGAAAGTTACATGTCACTTGTAACCATCTCAGTGTTTCTCACATGGCTCTTTCATGCCCAGGTTTTATTGACGCTGGTGGTGAATCCCTATCCATACACAGACAGAGCAGCTGACTTTGTCCAAGAAGCCAGCACACTGCAGGCCTCTGTGGGGAGGCAGGACACGGATGATGTCAGCATTCCCATCTCCCACATTGACGGTAGGTGCCTCGCCCTACTGCATGGCTGGTGTGAACAGTGAGCGTGGCAGCAGGTTAGACAGAACAAGAACTGCACTGATGTCCTCAGCAAAGTGCAGATGCCCCGTGTCTTTCTGTCAAAGGTCAGCCTGCTATGAAGATGGGTTTGCCTTGTTTGTTTACATAATGGGAAATGTGTGTAGAAACTACTTGCTGGATTATTTTTATTTGTGAAGTGTTTACTATGTGCCAGGTCCTGTTTTAAGCTCTTCACAAGACTTAACTCATGTAAACCTCAAAAGGGAGGAAGGTATTATTGTCCTCTTTTTCTACATAGCTAAGGCAGCTGAGGCACAGAAAGGTTAAGTAATTTGCTCCAGCTTGTACAGCTACTGCATAGCAAAATCAGGATTTGAACCCAGACCTGGCTGTGGTTTGTGCTTTAACTCTCTCACATTTTGGCTCTTTTGTCTGAATATCTAAAGTTCCTGGGCTGCTTCTGTCACTTGAAGAAACTTTATCCTGTTATCAACTGAGCTGAAGAGCCTGCATTTTATCAGATAAAGATTGTAAAGCCTTCATGGGCAATGCCTTCATCTGCTTAGGATCAAGCTGTATAAAGCATTTTTTTCCCTGAGAGAAATTTAGGTGTATTTTTTCTCTTTTTTTGCAAATATGCTCTTGCTTCTCCCTCCCTGTGGGCTGTTTATTGTGAGGTCCTTTGGTGACACTTGCCTCATCTGAACTCCCCCTTTCTGTGTCAGATGTGCTTGACATGGTGGATGTCCTGGTAGAGGGCAGCGAAGGCTTGGATGAGGAGATTGGGTTCTCATTAAGTGAAGACATGGTCCTGCTCACGTTCCCGTTCAGTGCTGTGGTTCCTGCAGCCCTGGAAGCCAGGAATAAGTTGCTCCTTGGGACAGAAAATGAAGCAGGTATTGTGTACAGTCAGGACACTCCAGCTGCAGTAGGTCAGCTGGGTCAGTGGGGGCTGGGAGATGGGACTCTTAATGGTTCGGGACACTGTCTGAAAACCCTCCAGAGTGACGGCTACCTGACCATGGAACTCACAGTGCAGGGTCAGATCTTGAGGCTGTTGCGAGAGTGGTTGCTTGAGGGAGGAGTATGAAAAATGTGTTTGCTTGGCTTCACAAACACCAGATGTCACACTGATGTCTCACTATCCATTTTTGATGTCTTGATGATAAGGCAAAAGGCTTCATATGCTTGTTGGGTTTTCTAGCCAGCTTTGACTCAAGGAAGCACCCATAGGCCACAGTAGTGTAATTAATTTGGTGAGCTTGGGCCTTGCTGCTGTAACAAAAAAGTCCCCACATATCAGTGATTTAGAGTTTTCTGATTTTTGTCAGTGTCTAGGCCAGGCCAGGTTTCTCTTCTGGGTGCTGTCCTTTAGGAGGTAGCCCATGAGTCCCTGTTTTATCGCTGTGTCATCTCAACATGGGCTTCTAGAGTCACTTTGGAAGAGAGGGAATGGTTAAGCAGGATGTTACTACTAGAAGACTAACCCTGGCATGTGGTTCTGCCCAGCCTGTAGGAGAGGCTCTTGTGCCATGCAGAGAGAAGGGATTGGTGAACCCTGGCAGGTCCTGGGTTTAGGATGCCTCTTTGATGCTTGGGACTGTACCTGTGGTCCTCAGGACTTGATGTCTGACCATGTATTGTCTGTTAATAAAGTGGAGCCTAGGACACTGTAGTAGCCCCTGTCTTCCCCTGTGGGCATGTGAACCCATGTGGAGTTGGCATGAAGTTTTCTGGGTCTATATTGCATTTATGTAGGAGGAGATGGTGTTGGATTCCAGAAGGGCATTTCTAGCAGGCGTCTTCCCTCATGCATCTTGTTCTTCTGCAGGAGAGACCATCGTGGCATATCTGACAGCAGTACTGACTGACCTCCTCCACACCCAGAGGGACCCCCTGGCTCTGTGTCTTCTGCTCCAGGCTTATGACAAGTTTGAGCCTCAAGGCTCACCTTGCTGCCAACAGCTCTCCCTGTTCAGCAGATACTACAGCCTCTGGATCCCAGAGCAAGCCAGGGAGGCCAGGGTGAGCTGCAGTCCCTGCTCCTGCCAAGGGGGCCTTCCTTGGCCAGCTGTGTGGCTAGAGTTGCAGGGAGAGATTTCTTACCCTTCAGACTTCCTCACTGTTGAGAGGAAGCTGAGTAGTATCCCGGCTGCTGCTCTGATGTGACTGAGACAAAGGACGATGCGCCATACACTTCAGTTTTCCACCAGCTCCCTGGTGACAATTGGCCAATCTGCTTCAGCTTGGGACAAGAGGTTGCCTTTCCTCTTTTTTCCTTACTGAACGATTTGGGACACATTTATCATGCTACCTTCTGCAGCCCTTGGCATATACCAAGTCTTACCAGGCTTAGCTGTCACACCTGAGGCCCCAGCAGGCTCCACTCTGTTAAAGCTGGGAACGCATAGTGGCTCCTGTGCAGCACATTTGTAGAATCATGTGGGGCAGAAAGTTAACTTTGCTGTGGAATTTTGTGGATTCTTTGAGTCAGCTGCACTTGAGAATGATAGCCCAAGGAAGATGTGTTTTGTCTGTTTATTTTGTATCATGTATTTTCAGCCATTTAACCTGCCAGTTGAGAAATAGGTAAAGACTCTCCACCTTTATACACATGGGGAAACCGAGGTGCAGAGCAGGGTTTGGTCTAGGCAGTTTGGCTGTTGCCACCTTCCTCCATACAGAGGCCAAGGTTACAGCCAGACTGCAGGTAGTGTGGAGCTGACGGAAGGTCAGTACCGTCCCTCCTGGTTGCTAAAGTCCACGTGTATCCTCTGGTGGCTCACCCTGCAGGATGTGTGAACCTTCCTAGGGAGGGTTGTTCACATTCAGCTGCTGGGCCCCATCCCCACAGTGTGACTCAGCAGGTGGGAGCCTGAGAATTTGCATTTTCACACCGTCTTAGGTAGTGCTGCTGCCACACCTTTCCTGGGACTACGCTTTGAGAACCACTGAGCTTCAGGGCACCTGTGACCTCAAGCTTATTAGTCTAAGGAAGTCACATATTTGGAGTTAACATAATAGGAGTGGGGGGTAGATTAAAAACAGTTTGGGATTATGTTAGAAGAGTGAACAACTTTTGTTTGAGGCAGGAATGCCTCAGAAAGTTGTCTTTGTTCTGTCCCTCTGACATTCTTGTCTTTTTTGACAAGGTATTATGACTGAGGGTCTTAGGGAGGCAAGTAGCTCACAGTGTGAGGTCCACTGGGAACTGTGGTTTCTAGCAACTCATCCTGGGACTTCTGTGATGAAAGTCCCACCTCTGAAGCATGGGACTCCCTTGGCACTGCAGGACCATTCCTACTTCTGCTGGGTGCCCTAGCATCCCACCAACATGAATGCACCCTAGTAAGATATGGTAGCCTGGTAGTGTTGGGATATTCACTTAAATAAAATGCACATGGCCTTGCATTTTCTAATTTGACATGATTACCATGTAGTGTCCCTTGTTGGGTGCTCTCCCCGGTCTGTCTTACCAGCAACCTTTACATTGTGATTATTTGTCTTTTCCCTCCTGTCTCTTGCTGTCTCCCTCAGGTGTTTAGTAGCCCTGTGCCCTACACTCCCCACTCAGCCTCCTGCTTCTCCGCCCTGCTTCAGGCAGCCTATGAGAGCCAGACACTCGGGGACGAGTGTGTTCAGACACAGCTGCAGGATGCCCTTCCGCACCTCGCCCTGCACCAGGCTCTGCGCTCTGCCAAGCAGGTGCTGCTCTACCTCAGAAGCACTGTGGAGAACTTCAGCCAGGTCAGCAATGTCCCTCCAGTCCCCATGCTCCTAACCTTCCACCTTCAGAGAGCATGGCTTTCTCTGAGCCAGGTCCACACTTAAGGACAAGATTTTTTTTATGGCCCCCAAGGCCTCAGGGCAAGCTGGTGACTAAGGAGCCTGGATTCCCAGCTCTGCTGCTCCTGCACTGCCCCCTCTTGTCCCTGAGCAGATGTGCAGGGACAAGGCTGTTCTCTCCACGTTGGCAGACAGGAGCCAGATGCGGCCTCTCCCAGCTTAAAGCAGGACAGGGCCCTTCCTGTGGGAGCCTGCATCAGTGACGTGGCTGATTCCCTCTTTTCATGAGTTTGTTAATTCACTAGGCGCTATTGAGTGCTTTCCTAATGACGTTTATAGATCTTCAGTTTAGGCTTTGAGGCTGGCCTGTTCGCCTCATTCTAGCCAAATACACCTTTGTATTTCATCAGGATTTGGGAAGATGAGTCCCTTGTTGAGAGGTGACTCAAGATGATGGAATGGGCACTTAGAAACACTGAGTGTAAGGCTTTGCCACTTCAGCTCACCTGTCAAGTCTCTTCTGATGACACAGGGACCTGGCAGTCACTGTTCTGATGACCATCAGTCCTTCCCAGCTAAGGCTCATGTGGCTCTCATCCCCACAGCTGGGCAGAAGTGCAGGCCCCCCCCTTCTGCAGCTCTTCCTGGATCTCCTCACTCGCCTGGTTGTTCACTGTGAGCAGCTGGATGCCCAGAACCAGCAGAAGTGTGAGGCTGCCCGTTCCCAATCTGACCTATTCTTGGACATGGATTCCATGGCCTCGCTGGAGTTAGCCAATGACCAGGTACTACTTCCCTTTTCTACAGGCAGCCTGTTCATCCTTTTCCCATAAAGTCATGGATAATGGCTTTCTCTCCACTTCTGATTTTTAAAAATGTGTTCACCAAAGAGCAATGCAGAAAACTGCAGCAGAGATACTGAAAGTCATCTGTGACCCCTGCCCAGGGATAACATCCATCCTCCTAGCAGCTCCTCACAGTCATTTCCCCTCCCAGGCTGCTGCCCCTGAGCCTCTGCCCTGAGCCTGTTGGGAGCAGGCGAGCACTCTCCTCTGAGTTGGTGCAGCCTGTGCTGGCTGGGCTGGGTGGTGGAGGCCTCTACAGACCAGGTGTGTGGGAAGCAGTCTGTCTCCTGTCACTCTTGCACAGCAGACTTAATTGACCAGGTGGAGATTTTCCTCACAGTGTGCCATGATGCTGTTTTACTGCTTCAGGAGACAAGTATGTTTTTCATTTCACAGTCTTGTTGAAATGGATACTTCTTCCTTTCATCTCCTCATTGGCTTTCTGGGAGGTGTCTTCTGTGTTTCTAGCTGCAAAGCTCTGTTGGGAAGGGTGATTGGCTCTTTCCTTCTCTCAAGAATGAATAAGATAAGAAAACCCATTCTGTCCCTGGCGACTGGTGGAACTTCCTGGCCAAGACTCATGTTGAGCAAGGCTGTGTAGGACAGCTGGGCCAACTCATCCTCTAACTGCCAAGGGTATTGGCTGCTTTCTGGTTAGTGCTTCAAACTCACTTAGTTGTTAAGGCCAAAACTTACTTCTCAGGGTCACTTGAGACCTGGTATTCTTCTGAAAGTGGTAACAGGATTAGCTTCAGTTTGCTATTGTGGACATTCTCAGTGACGTTAATCCCAGACGTGGTCTAAGCTGTGACCATTCTGCCCCACTTGTTAGGAGACACCCATGTCCCTTTGCCAGATTTTCCTAGGAGGGCAAGACCACCAAAGAGAGACAAGGGGTGACTGATTCACATTTTGTTGTTTCTACATGGCCTTTGTTTTCATTGGGTGGGGACAGCAGTCTTACCACACTGGTCCACTCCAGCTGGATTCTTTAGTCACTCTGACTTGGGAGGGGGGCACTTACCACATCCCATGATGGGAGACGTTTTTGCAGTCTGGCAGTTCTGCAGTGCTGTGGTGAGGTAGCAATCCAACACTGTGAGCCCCTAAGAGTTGCAGTGAACCTGGATGTGGAAGAGGTGAGTTAGCAAAACCACTTTGCTCTCTGCCTCACCAATAGCAGCAAACGCTTCCTAGTGACTGGTCTGTCCCTGGCTTGGTGCCTTGTGTGCAGTCTGTACCTGTCCTTGTCTTTCAGACGCTGGAGGACGTATTGGTAGCCATCCTCAGACACCCCACACTGGAGGGCTGGTTTCTGGCCCTGGAGCAGCAGGCCCTGCCCCCTCATATGCTTAGCCCCATTCTTGTGAAGCTTCTGGCTGCCCACTTCAGTGCAGGGGTCCTTCAGCTGTTGGTGGCAAGTGCCCCGATCCTCCGCAGCATGGGGCGGCTGGGCCTCCTGGTCAAGTACTTGAAGGCCATCACCCAAAGCGTGTTGCGAGAGCTGCGAGCCAGGAGCACAGGCCAAGCCACATCATCCTCCAAGAGCCTGCCACAGCTGGCGGCCCTGCGGGAACTGCATCCGTACATGGAAGGTGCACAGCTCCGTGAGATCACCCTGGCACTGTTGGGCCTGCCTGAGGTTTACCTGCTGACCCAGCGACCCCCAGAGTTCCCTGGGAAAGAGCGACACCTGAGCACTCTTGGGAAGACCCTGGTGCAGCTCTTAGCTAGCAGCCCCCAGGATCAGCTGCATAGCGGGGAGCTTTTCTGGTCCTCCGAGTATGTGCGAGGCCTCGGAGCTCTGCTCCCCGTGCTGTCCGTGGATGAGCTGGACACCACATTCCTTCACACTCTGCAGAGAGACCCCGTGCTGGCCCCCGTAGTGGCAACTGACTTGCTTGACTACTGCCTGATCCGGAGGACGCGAGCCACCCTTGACATTGCTGGCTTGCTGCTTCAGCAGAGCTGCACCCACTTGCTAAGATTTGAGCTGTGGTGTGGGCAAGCCAGTGCAGGGCTCAGCCTGAGAGAGGACCTGGATGACTTCCTCCCCCTTGTCCATGTGTACCTCCAGCACAGGACACAAGGACCCTTCACACGGCCAGCCAAAGGTAAGGGAGAGGCTGGCTTTGTATAATGGGGTTGTAGGTTGGAGAAGCCAGGGGGATGAACTGCATGTGGTTCTTGAACCCTTCCACTCCCCGGTCTTGGCTGTGGCTTAGTTCCATTCTTCCTCTAGGGTCTGAGCAGCTCTGAGTATTGACAAGGGTTGAAAAATTCTCAACACCTCTCTGGTCTCTCAGCATTGTGAAGTGAGGCATAGCCCCCATATCCTGTCAATTCCTATGTGAAGTGGGTTGGGATGGGCAGTGGTTGGGGTTGTCTGTGTCTTACTAAGTAGAGGGAGTCATTTGGGGCTAAGCCGTCCTATGTCTCATCACACCTCACTGCCTCAGGAGACATGGTGAGTTTGTGTCATGTGTATTAAAGCAACATGAGAGCAGCTTTTTCTCCACCTGCTGGGTTTCATGTTTGACACTGATTTCCTCAACATTTAATTTAATTCTGTTTCAGTGATTGCACAAATGATTTTTTTCATTCACTGCTTTGCCTGTGTTTTGCATAATTTTTTATCAGTGGTGACAGGTGCTTTAAAAAGTAAGGCAGGGCCTGGCACTGGTGACTCATGCCTGTAATCCTAGTGAGACCCTATCTCAAAAATACCCAACACAAAAATGGGCTGGCAGAATGGCTCAAGTGGTAGAGCACCTGCCTAGCAAGCCTGAGGCCCTGAATTCAAACCCCAGTACCACCAAAAAAAAAGTATAAGGCAGCTCTGCAGATAGGAGCCCGCTGGCCATTGCTCTAGATGTCCCTCTCCTTAGCCACCTGCCCAGTCATGTCCTGTGCCTTTGGAGAATGATATACATAAGAGTTCAGAACTTCAGCTCTCATGATCTTGGGAAGTTAGAGCCATGGTCTGTATTCAGGGCACACAAAGGCTGAAGAGCATCTGTTAGGAGGGCTGACCATTGAGATTGGTCCACTATTAAATCTCCCAAAGATTTAATAGTGGGGTCTTGGGGGAGAGTGATGTAATATTTGCCAGTTTGCTTGGTGTTAGTACTCCTGTGATGGCCAATTTCAGGCTGCCAGAGTGACTTCACCTAGGTCACATAATGCCCAAATAGAGAGCAATCAGCTCCTGTGAGCTGGTCTGAGCTGGCTGAGTCCACCAGTATGTGCAATGACCTCTGCTTTGTGTCTGTGCTCTAGTGTCCTCTGCTGTCATTCCTGTCTTGAGGAAGGCCCTGTGGAGACAGCTGCAGGACCAGCTTCTCAGTACTGATGGGCGCCCTGAGTCTGGGCTGCACCAGGAGGTCCTGGCCCAGCTGGTTCCATTTGCGAGAGCCAAAGATCTGCGTGTGCTCATGGACCACTTGCCCAGCTTGCTTCAGACTCCAGGCAGTCGAGAGAGGTATGACTGTTCCCCTCTTAGCTTCTCTTTTCCCTTTAGAATGTATAAAGTGAGTTAGTGAAAATGGCTGCCTTCCCATTGTGCCATTCAGTGAGGTGGCAGTCCCAATGGGAGCTCTTCCTTCCTGCCATCCTGGCCGAGGATGCATTTTTGCAAGTAGACAGCCAGGTCTGACTCCCTGAGAGAGGTGGTGGTGAACTGGCTGGGGGTGGTTTCTCTGGGGGATGCTTGGCACTGTGTGACTTACTCATTGTTATGACTGGGGTGACAGATGTGGCTTCTGGCATCAGAAGGCAGAGGAGGCCAGAGTGCTGCTAAATAAGCTGTATTGGCAAGACAGCCCCCACGTCACTAGTGCGGAGGCTGAGAGACCCTGATATAGAGCGTCTGCACAGACCTGCCCTTTCTCTGTGTGCTTGTGCTGTTGGCTATATGAACAGTTTGATGCACCTTTAATGTTCCAGTAAAAGTGAAGAGCAGACCTTGGGATGTCTGTCCCATGTGGGCCTTTGCAGTGTTGTATCACAACCTCTAAGTCTGGACTCTGGTATCCCTTGCAGTTGGATGGTGGCAGACTCTGTCTCAGCAGCCCTAGAGGAGTCAGCAGCAGAGCTGCATGCCTGGAGGAAGACCCTCCTGGAGTCCTGTGTGCAGTGGTTGCTTATGTCCTTCAGTGGTAGCGAGCCAGGAGGTGACAGTATCCAGGATCAAGAGAAGCACATGCTGCTCAGACTAAGCAAGTTGTTGGTAGGTGTCTTTTCTTAGCAATTCTGACTATCTTTTTAAGCGATAGTGAACTAGACCAACCAAGCTTTACAGAGGCAGTGCAGCCATATAGCATGAATGTGGCTTGGCAGGAAATGAGAAGGACTGTTTCTAGGGGCAGTGTGGCAGGTGGGGCAACCCCTGAATTGATGAGCCATTTTTTATCAGTAGTGGATGCTAGATTTTGTCATCTGCTTCTTTGCATCTACCAGATGTCTTGTCTTTTTTTTTTTTTTTGGTCTGTCAATAAGGTGAAGTTTAGCCAGGCCCTGGTGGCTCATGCCTTAATCCTAGCTACTTGAGAGGCAGAGATCAGAGGGATTGTGGTTCAAGGCCAACTGAGCAAAAAGCAAGATCCTATCTCAGAAATACCCAACATACACAAAAATAGGCTCAAGTGGTAGAGTGCCTGCCTAGCAAGCGTGAGTTCAAACTCCAGTACTGCCAAAAAGTAAAGCGAAGTTTATTAATTGAATGTTAAACCAACCTTGCATTCCTGAGATAACCTTACTTCATCATGTTTTCTTTTTGTATGTTGTTGGATTTGATTAGCTAATATTTTGCTTAGTTTTTGTTTCTGTATATGTAAGGGATGTTAGCTTATAATTTTACTTTTCCTATAATATGTTTGGGTCAGAATGAGTCAGATAGAGTTCACTGGGTTTCAAATTGTAAGATGATGGTTTATTTTTTCCTTAAGTATTTTTGAAAGTGTTACTTTACTGTCATCTGGCTTGCTTGGTTTCCAGTAAGAAACCTGTTATTGTAATCTTTGTTCCTCTGTGTCTTTGTGGGTTTTTTTTTTTTCCTCTACTTAATTTTAGGATTTTAAAAAATAACTTAGAATTTTTTAAAGCAATTTGATAATGATGTACCTCAGTGCAGTTTTTTGTTTTTTTCTTCAGTTTTCTTATGCTTGGGTTTCATTAAACTTTTTGGTCTGTGGGGTGATAGTTTTCATAAAATTTAGAATTATCCACCATTATTCTGTTATTAACGTATCCCCTTTTAAAAATGTTATATTTTTGCACAGAACTAATTAATATTCTGAAGGTAGCATACGTATGTGAGTTATTCATTTATGCATGGTATAAAATTTCATTAATAGTCTTAGAGTCTGTGACTGGTGTTTAAACTCTGAACCCAAGACCAGTCACCTAAAGCAATCCTCAGAAAAATAGTTCCAGGTAAAAATGAGCAAGTATAGTAAGACAGACATGTGTAAGTCCTGGAGCAAGCCACATGCTCACTTAGTCATTTTAAGGGACTGTATAACCTGTACTCTCAGACCTAATCGTGTGTCACATGTTTGTGAACTGAAGGTGCACAGGAACCCAGACATGGCAGGACTGAGGGGGGAAAGGTGCCCGAGACTTGGACAGAGCTGAGCCGTGGAGGTGGTGATGCTTAACTCACCAGCCAGGCAGAGAATGCTGCAGGGCTTCACAGCAGCCCCTCCATCCAGTGACAGGCAGTGCTCTCTTAGGCACAGGCCTCCTCCTCACTCCACTCTTGTTTAATTGAGGTAGAGTTTACCTGAATTGAAAATACGTGGCTGTTAAGTGTTTGGTTATATACCCATGTCTCCCACACTCCTGTCTTAAGATTTCCAGCTCAGAAAATCCTTGTGCTACTTCTCCAAACTGACTTCCCTCTAAAGTAACCCATTAGATTATTTTGCCTTTTCTTATTGTATTATTTATTTAGATTTTTTTTGAGGCAGACGTAGCCCAGGCTGGCCTTAAACTAAGGTTCTCCTACCACAGCCTCCCAAGTACTGGGATGACAGGTGTGTGCTGCCACACCTGATCTACTTTGCCTATCTTAAATCTTCACAGATTTGAAATCATACGCACCCTTTTGTGGGTTTGGCTTCCTTCCATTAAATTGTACTTTCCAGACACATCCACTGTGGGAAGGAATAGCTTACTGCTTTTCATTGCTGAGTAGTATTCCATTGTGTACTTCCCCCAAGCCCCTGAAAACTTAGAGTTACTAGTGTTTGTGATTATAAAGCTAACAAATACACCCATTGTAAATATCAACAATGCAAAAAAAAAAAAAATCTAAAGAAGAAAGTAAAACATTTTCCATTACCTGGAAACACCCCTTTATAACTTTGGTGAATATCCTTTCAGAGACATTGCTGTATATCTGTGTGTGTGTGTGCTTAAGAGAGAGAGAGATAGTTGAGAGAGAAAACTAAGTATAAATTTTTGTACTAATAGTATCTTATTATGCATGTTAGATGTAGCCTATGGGTTTTGTTTGTTTGTTTGTTTTGTTTGTTTGTTTGTTTTTTTCTTTTGCAGTACTGGGGTTTGAACTCAAGTACTGGGCCTATACCTCAAGCCACTCCACCAGCTCTTTTTTGTGATGGATTTTTTCAAGATAGGGTCTCACGAACTATTTGCCCAGGCTAGCTTCAAACTGCAGTCCTCCTGACCTTTAAGTAACTAGGGTTACAGGCGTGAGCCACAAGCACCCAACTTTGTTTTGCTTTTTAACACAATACCATGTTTTGCAACCTTTTTCCCCATGCCGATGACTGTGGACCTTCTCTGACCTTGGTAATGGACTGATTTTCTAGGTAAGTGAACTGCACTTAATGTCCACTGCTGGACCTGTGGATGGCTTTCCAGTGTTTTGCTCTTATAAAGAATGCTGTGATGAGTATCTCTAGTGGTCCCTGCACACATGATCAGTTGTTCCTGAAAGAGGAAGTGCTGGAGCAAAGAGGATGCATATCTAAGACTGTGTGATGAGCAGGAGGAGAGCCTCTGGGAACAGTCTGGGGTTTTCTTCATACTCTGGCACTGAGGTCTCCACTGCTTGGCCAGCCGAGGGTAGCCACAGCCAAGCACACACTGCCGTCAGCTGGTCTCTGCAGCCACACTGGTCCTCCAGTTCTACAGACTGCCTTTTGTGCAGCCAGAGTAGTTTCCGTTGACTAATAAAAGGCTATTGTAGGTCTATTAGCATGTCTGAAGTAGTAGACAAGGAAAATATAACAAGACTATTCAGGAAATTTCCTTTTGTCCATTTGATGAGCCTAGGTATGTTAAAAATGTTAGCACTAATAGTAGAAATAACCAGTTTTTTAGTTCAGTGAGATGTTTCATACACATTTCTTGCTTGCTTTATACTAGCATGTACTCAATGAAATTGACCCTGGCAATTGGCAGAAATTGGTGAAGACAGGACTCAAGTAAGTTGGTTTTATTTTCTTGGTGCATTTATAAAGGTGGGAATGTAGCTGGCAGAGTGGCACAAGTGGTAGAGTGCCTGCCTAGCAAACATGAGACCCTGAATTAAAACCCCAGCACTGAAGAAGAAGGGGGGAAAAAAAAAAAATATATATATATATATATATATATATATATATATATATATATATATATGTGTGTGTGTGTGTATGGTAAAGGTGGAATGTTTTCCACCATGCACGTCCCCTTTCGCACATCCCCTTTCGTAGTTGTAGCATGGGGTCACCTCATTTCTAGGGCTAAAAGGCAAGAATTTTTGAGACAGCTGATTCACCTATTGACACTCAAGGCACGGCTAATGATGAAGAAAAGGCAGCATTTGAAAAGTTACAGATCTTAAAAATACTGAAATGTACAGAGAATAATAGCTGTGCCTAAATGTGATAAATGCTGCAGTTTCTGTACTTGTCCTAATTCAGTGTCATCTTCTCTCTTCCCCACCAAAGGTCATCCCTCTTCTGGGACTGCACTTTGTCTTGTGCATGTATATTTTGTGTTCATACTTCGTCAGTATGCGTCTCAACAGTGCTATTTAGTTTGTTTAATGTTTTACACAGATTAACATTCTTTGTATGCCTTTTCTTCATTCAGGCATTCCTGATTTACCAGTTTGACTAGTATAGCTCTAAGTAAGCCATTCATTTTTACTGCCATGAAGTATTCTGCCTTTGGGCTTTACATGAGTTTATTTAGCCAGACCTTGACTGCGGATGTCCACACTGTTGCCCTAGTCCTCCCTGCCTTTTACAGTCCTGCAGTGACTCCCACATGTCTTCTGGCACACAGGTAGCAGTGTTGGAGTGCGAGGGGGGTGTACTGGCCGCTAGTATCAGCATATCTTCAGTGTCACTGTGTGTGTGTTTACAAATTACTCTCCCAGGTTGAGTGACTGATCCCAGCAGGGGGTGTTCAAGAGTTCATTTGCCCTTACAGCCTTGTTGGTGCCTGGTTTGGCTAAACTCTTTAGTTTTTGGCGTTTATGAAATGATGTTGTGTCTGCAATTTTCATTTCCCTGATCATTCATGAACTTGCAGTAGTCAGAAAAGAACATCTCACACAGAGGAGAGAAAGAAGTAAGGGATGGTCTTAGGTTAGTGGTAGCCATAAATGACTATCATGGAACAGTGACATTTCTTTCTGTCTTTGGTTAATTTATGTTTCTAGAGTGCCCACCATGTGTTGGCTGATTCTTAACATTTTCACATAGAACTTACAGGCTTTTTCCTAGATATGTTGCTTCTTCTTTTCGTCTGGTGGGTTTTGAAAGGATTCAAGAAATTCCTGAGCCCTGTGCTAGAAGTTCTGAGGGGCTGGAAGGAGGGAAGGAGGGAGAGAGGCTGAGCTGGCAGGGTCAACTGGGGCACCAAGTGTCTCTTCTCAGACTCAGCAGTTCTGCTGCCTCCTGGTGTTTAACCTACACAGGGTGTAGTATCAAAAAGAAAATTCAGTCACATGTCACATAAGATGGTTCGGCCAGTGATCACCTCATACATGGTGGTGGTCCCATGTGAGATTATATACCTTAGCAGTGCCATAGCTGTCTTAGTTTATGTGAGTGCCCTGTGCATTGTTCATATGGTGACAGTTGCCTAATGGCACAGTTTTCAGAACATGTCCTATTGTTAGCGATGTGACTTGTAAATGCACTGTGTCCCACGTTGCTTTTAGAAGCGATCCTTGTGTCTGTGAACAGGCAGGAATGTGAAAAGGCAAGTAATATGTCAGTGGTGGAATCCAGATGACAGATCCAAAATTCCCAATTTGTGCTGTGTTTAAAAGTCTTCCTAATAAAGTTCTAAGAAGTAAAAGTTTTATTGTTTCCTATAAACAAACTTCCCTTCCAGTTAAGCTCTTTACTTTTGGTTTGCCTCCCAGATTTCGGTATCAGGACCACACCTTTTTAAAGACCCTCCACACCGCCACGCAGCTACTGTATGGCCCGGAAAGTCCCATGTGCCCAAAGCTCATTCAGCTCCCAGTGGTCCACATGATGCTCACCCAGCATTCCCTGTTTTTGCCAACCCTGCTGACATCCGAGGAAGAGGGAAACCCAGACAGTCAAGTAAAAGGTGACCCTTCTCCTTACCTATCCAGTTTACTTCCCACTTTTATTTCCTGGTCGCATCAAAGTAGCCGTGTGCCAAAACTTCTCCCGGAGTTGTTTTCAGAGCCAATCAGGCATTTGAATTGCCTTGTTTCTGTCAACTCCAATGTCAAGATAAAGCTCTGTCTCCAGATCAAATAGCAAAGGCAGCCCTGTTTTGAAGGCCTTACCTGGGTAACAGAGGTTGTGTTGGAGATCTCACTGCCACATCATGCATGGTGTTGAAGTTTGGGAGTTAGGGGAGGGTAGGAGGTGTAGGAAAACATGGTATCTAGGACTGCAGGTGTGGCTCAAGCTGTAAAGCACCTGCTTTGCAAGTGTGACAGCCTGAATTCAAGCCCCAGTCCCACCACAAACAAACAAACAAACAAAAGAAGTGTGGATATGTGACCTGAGATAAATTGATAAAAGCTGCATGAATTTCCTAGTGGGAAGATGGGAACTTATCAAGGGAAGAGGCTAGAACTTGCTCATTCTCTTCTAAAGCCAGATCTGTGCTCCATCCCCAATTTAGTAAGCATTCACTGTATACCCAGGAGTCCAGAGTATTGGGTAGACTATGTCGAGAAGATGATCTGAATGCTTCTGTCCTCTTGCAGCTGCACCCCCACACCATAAGTCACCGCAGGGTCAGTCTAATAAATTGCTGGATTGGCCAGGCACAGTGGCTAATACCTGTAATATCATCACTTAGGTGGGTAACAGTTTGTGGCCAGCTCAAGCAAAAAAATTTGCAAGAGCCCATCTCAATAAATATGCTGTCTTCCAACTACTCAGGACACAGGTAGGAGGATTGTGGTCCAAGACTAGCCCCAGGCAAAAACATGAGACCCTATCTGAAAAATAATGAAAGCAAAAAACAGATGAGATTGTGGCTTAACTGGTAGAGTGCCTGCCTAATAAGCACAAGGCCCTGCGTTCCAACTATAGTACCACCAAAAATATTAATTAAAAATAAAATAAACTGCTGAATTGAGACCAACTATTACACAAATTACTAGTACAGATAGTAGAAAAAATGAAAAGGGCTATACCTTCTATTCAGGCAGAAATTGTGGATATTTTGGTAGTATAATCGTGGGGGAGAATGCTCCCAGGCTTATCACCTGGTAGGGGCATGAGCAGAGACTGGTTTTTAGCCACAAAGATCTAGAAGATGGTGACTGTGAAGACACGTTTATTTTAAAAATACGTAACAAAGGGGAATGGGCTAGACGGCAGCCCCAAGTTGAACATTGTTCAGAGAAGGACACTTCAGACACGTAAGTGTTCCCTGAAGTGCTTCTCTGCTTTACCTGGAATATGTGTCCCTGCAGTGACTGACATTTCCTTGTCATTTCTTCCAGAAGCGCTGGTGGACCTAATGTCGGCAGTGGTGAGGCTGTGCCCATCTGTCTGTGAGAGCAGCCATTTTGCAGTACTTCTCGGAGCCTATGGTGCCACCCTCAGCGTCCTTGGTGAGGGTTTGAGGAATGGGGAGGGAAGGAGGCTGGTTGGTCACATCTCCTTGTGTGTTGAAAGCACTTGGCTTCCTAAAGTGACCCTCATTTGACTTCCAGACCAGAAGATTTTGCTTCTTCTCCGGGCATATGAACAGAACAGTCTCAGCCTCATCAACTTCAAGTGAGTGTTGAGTCTACAGATGGATGGGAACCAGTAGTAGATGGTTCCCATCTACTACCAATGAAGGCATTGGTCCCAGTGGTGCCTGCCACACAGTGAGCTCCAAGTTCAAGATTCTGTTCATTTGTTTTTGATCCTTAGGGCAGGGGTGACAGCAGAGCTTCTCTAGTTCATACACAGTTCCAACCAGGTTGTAGGGGATGACTTTGGCTTTGAACTGAGGTCATGTCTGTTGTAGGGACCCCTGCTCTGCCCACTCACGGGTGCCCCCGACTCACTCCTGGCTGGTTGATCTCTGAGATTGATTTTTCTGAAAACCTTTCACTTCATGCTTTGCTGTTTGGAGGACTCATGATGGGGAAATTTGGGGAGGAGAACAGAACATGAAATCTACGCTGTTGTCTGTCTGCACGTGTGTGTGTCTGTCTGTCTGTCTGCTGTACAGGTCTGATCCTGAGCTTCTGGGTTGAGTTTCTAGCCTTTCACTGGGGGCCCTGCAGGAACTGACCAAATGCACCCTTGATAGAAAGCATTATTGAACTCTGTTGCCTTGAATTCTTTTCCTTCTCAGCTTGTGGAGCCAGCACCTACCTTCACATCTGCCCAATGCCACACAAGCAAAGATCTTGTGTGTTCAGACAGGAAGCCGCTACCTGGACTAAGAAAATGTTCAGGAGGGCTCTACAGGGAAAAAACAAAACTATTTACCTTTTAGAACACTTTGTGTAAAGATAAGCAATGTAGGCCCAAACACCACTCCCAACCTCAAAGAAAGGAAACAGAACCCAAGTCCTACACAGAGACGTTGGCTCTCCTTCCCCTCAAACATTGGCTCGCTGTCATTGCTTTGGGGTTGGTGCTCTGTCCGTTGCCCCTTTTGGAATAGGATCATCCCTGCATGAGGAAAAGTCAGATGGTATGGTGGTCATAGGCCTGAGTATTTTCCTCTCTGTTCAGGAGACAGTAGAGAGCTGATAGAAGTCTAGGAACAGGGAAGTAGCCTCCACAAAGCTGGGTTTTGGGGAGCATCCTGGCAGCAGTGGGGAGGCAGGTAGCAAGAAGAGAGAGTCACAAATCATTTTCTAGGTAGAAGGCGAGGTGGGCCTCTGGATGGCTGAGTGGGGACTGGATATAGAGCGTGTGGCTACACAGGGAAGACAGGAGATGGGGCCAGCTACAGGCTCTATTGGTTTGCTCATATCTCCTGCAAACAGCAAGCAGTCTGGCTTCTGCTGGGCTAGCCTAGCTCTGGAGCCAGACTCCCAAAGTTTGAATCCTGGCTCTGTTACCAGCTGGCTCATATCCAGCCCAGCACCTTTCTTAATCCTCTCTCTGCCTCTTTTCCTCATTCACACAAGGGGGTGATAACAGTACCTCTTACGAATGGGGTTGTTGCACAGGTTAAGTGAATTAATGTATGCAAAGGTCTTAGAGCCCCATGCCAGGCACGTCATAAGTAGCGTGTGGGAGCTGGCTGCTGTCATCACCAACTGTCACTGCAGTCAGCTTCGCCATTACCACCGCCTGCTTCATAAGCTGTGTAGGGGATCTATTGTAGATCACACGGACACATCCAAAACAGTCCTGGCATGAGCTGGCATCTTCATGGGTTCTGCCCATGTGACCATTGGCATCATTCGTGTTCCCGTGGGCCCTGTTGCCAGTCTGCCTTCCCTTCTTTGGCTCTAGGGTGCTGCTCTGGGGTCCCGCAGCTGTGGAACACCACAAGACACGCCGGAGTCTGGGCAAGTCACTGTGGCAGCAGCCGAGTGTCGGGGACATTCTCCGCCTCCTGGATCAGGACCGCATGATGCAAACCATCCTGCACTTCCCCCAGCACCGGAAGCTGCTGCCCCCTGAGGTGCGGCTGCTGCTGTTCTGCGCCTCCCCCAGTGCTCCATCTGCACCCTGGCCTTCCTTTTTCTTGTTAATTTTTTTTGGTAGTACTGGGGTTTGACTCAGAGTCTTGTGCTTGCTAGGCAAGTGCTCTATCACTTGAGCCATGTCTCTAGCCCTCTCATTAATTTTTAAGTAAAATTCCAACTATATATAGAAATACAGACTGGACCCCCAAGTTCCCATCACATAACTCAGTTGTTATGCTGGGCACCCTGTTTTATTACCTGCCCCTATTTTAAAAAAAAAAAAAAAAACTTATTTTGAAGCACATCCCAAAGATCATATCATGTCTTGGATAAGCACTGCTTTTTACAGAAGTGCGTTTTGCTTTATGCTCTTAAATATTCAAAATAATTTGAGCTATGGCAATAGTGGGCTAACATAAATAATGTGCTGTTACATTCCAGAGGTTGAATCATGCATTTTTGTTGGTTTCGGCTGTTTCAGAATGCACAGGAGTCAATATATAAAGACAAGAGCGTGAAAGTGGATCTTGACAGCCTTTATGACCCCTGCTTTCTCCTTCAGCTCTTCGGGGAGCTGACCAGGCCAGGTAAGCACAGCCACCTTCTTGGGGTCAAGCTGGCCTTGTGGGTGCTGGAGTCAGAGGATGGTGGTAGTTGATGCCATGACTCAGATTAGGATGTGAATCTCAAAAATCATTCTTTCAGGGTCTTCAACTGTCTTCTGACCTTTCATTCAGTGATTTTTCAGCAAAGTCACATTTTTATATTTTAAATATACAGTGATGTTTTTTCCACCCCTCTTGTACTAGGAATGAACCCAGGGCCTCACACTTGCTAGACAAGCACTCTACCACTTGAGTTACACCATCAGCCCTTTTGTTTTGTTTGGTTTTGTTTTGTTTTGTTTTGTTTTAAGATAGGTTTCAGTAACTTTACCTGGGCTGGCCTCAAACTTGAGATCCTCCTGCTTCTGCCTAGAGGTGCGCACCATTAGACCTGTCTTTGTACAACAGTTTTTTATAAAAGTATTTGTAATCTTAAAACCTGAGAGTGTCCTTGAACAATATCGGGGGAAGTCCGGCTGCCATGAGGCCTCCAGGAGCCTTCCAGGCTGGGCGGGCAAAGGCAGTGGTTACTAATAGGGCTCTGCCTGGTCATGCTGAGCAGAAGTGAAAGTTCTCACTGTCCCCTAGGCTTCCTCTGACACCCTCCAGGGAGCAAGAGGGAGTTGTCACTGTGCAGTGGGAATAAGAGGCCTCTGCTCTCTGCTCTCTTGGTGTGGGTAGAGGGGAGCTGGGGGCTCCTCCTTACAGCCTGGCAGGGTGGCAGTCTGAACGCCCTCTCTTGCTTTGCTTTCATCATGGGGGCAACAGGGAGGTGTTGACTGGAACAGAGTTGTTGCTGTCTGAAGTTTTTTCTCTTGCTGGGCTGCCCCTTGGCCCAGAGAGAGTCGAGTCTTGGCTCAAGAGAGCAGGCTTTTATGTCTGCGCCTATTAGGTTGCTGACTTCTTCAGTTCCAAGTCTGGGACACAGAGCACGAGTGCAGCCCAGGGATAACTGCCTTGCCCTTCCCTGGGTCTCAAGGCCCCGAGCTGCTCTTCATTCTTTCTTTATTTTATATGTAATGTTCAAAGTCTTCAGTTGTATTTAACAGGAAGAATAAGAAAAAGTATGTGTAGTCCCATCTCAGAATAGGGAGTCATTATTTAATTAGTTTTGATGTTAGATAATTCATGCAAATTCAAGATTCAAGATGGGCAGTGAAAATCTCCCTCAACCTGACTTCAGGCCATTCCTCGTTCTGGAGGAAACTCATCTTACCAGTGATGTGTGTTCTCTGCAGTCCAGCTTGCTTTTAGATACCTGTGAGATTCTGTTTGGACCTTCAAGAAAAAACTAAGTGTCCTGGGTCTGTTGGGGGCATGGAGGTGTGTGTTTGGCTTCTGTGCTCCTTTGCACAGCCAGGGTAGCACATAAAAGGGGCTCCTTTGTATGAGACTTCATAGATGGATAAGTTTAGGTGGACTGGGAAGACCACGTCCCACTGTTCATCCACTTTTCCCCCTTTCTAAACTTGAAATTTTCTTTTTTTACATGCACATGTTCCTATCTACAAACAGACATGCTGTACATCCACCACTGTCCTTTATACCCTCTTTAAAAGGATCAAAGGGGCCTGACTTTTCATCCATATTTCCCCATCAGTGGCCCTGTGTGCTGGTGCCAGCTCCCTCAATGATTTTTGTGCTTTGTTGCTAAAGCTGGGTTTTATTTATAAGAGAGCAAGGGCATTTCATACAGATGTACATAGGATGATAGCAGATAGGTGTCTGAACCACCCTGGTGACCATTAGGCAACAAACTTACTGAGGTAGAGTCACTACTCTGGCAGGAAACTCTTCTGACCTCCTACCTCTGCCTTGATGGTGCTGGTCAAATCTGTTCTTCATAAAACAGGAAAATAAATTTTCCACAGTCTGAAAACCTGAAGTTGCTGGGTATTATAACTTGAGTGAATTCTAACAAGTCATTTAGTCTATTCCTATCTCACAATGGGGCTTTTAGGAGATACACAGTGACTTGGTAATAGTGTAAGAGGGTATTTTTCACAAAATCTTAAACATTGTTCTTTGTTTCTCCTTTCTTCTTATGGAGGCTGGAGATGGGACTGAAACTCAGGGCTTCTTACTTGCAAAGCAAGCGCTTTACCACATGAGCCATGCCACAAGTCCATTTTCCTGTGGTTATTTTGGAGATGGGTGTCTCACAAACTGTTTGCCCTGCCTCACCTCCAACTGCAATCCTCCCTATCTCATCCTCCCAAGTAGCTAAGATTGCAAGTATGAGCCACTGGTACCTGGCATAAATGGTCTTTTAAAGTGGGAAAGTTCTGCTCCACCATTCTTCTTACCTTTAAGTTTTTCAGTACAGCCTATTTCAAGTCTTAGTGATATAAGACAGGTAAAAGTTTGCAGAGCATATCCATCCTCATCTTAAAAAGGATTTGTGATAGTTTGGCTGGGTGTGTGGCTCAAGTGGTAGAGCACCTTCCTAGCAAGTGTGAGGTTCTGAGTTCAAACCCCGTACTGTCAAAAACTGGTGATACTCAAGATTCACATTGAAATAGAACATTTCAGAACCCATAGAGGTACAGAGGGAAGTAGATATACCAAAATCCGACACCACCAAAAAGTAGGTTTATTAGGTATTGCTGTGGTTTTCTTGTCACCTCAAGCAAAAAGTGGGAGGCTTAAACTGCCTTCACTGACTTCTGGTTAGAAACACCAGTTTGTCAGGAAAGGACTATTCCTAGCAGTAAAATGAGTTAATGTGTGACATAAAGAAAGTACACAAGTCATGTTTGCATGGGTTGAATTTTGGTGGAACCACCAGTCAGATGAAGGAACAGAGCATAATAGGTGGCTCTTCAAGCCCCAACTGCCCAGGAGGGGCCAGTTCTGTATTTGAACTTTATGAAAATGGCACTGTCCATGATTCCATGTTGCATTTGTAAGATTCACCTATGCTGCTTGTAGCAAAGATCCCAACAGTATCCTTGTACTCCACACCTGGCCCAGGTATTGCTAAGCTTCCTGCAGTCTAACATCAGCTTAGTCCTTATGTGTGGGTCTTCAGAGACACTGTATCTCTATCTACTGCTCTAGTTTCAACCCTTTGCTAAAAGTGGGAACATATTTTCATAACCTTACTACCTCCCTTCTTTTGAGTCCTTGGCCAAGAACAAGGACCAGCAATGGCAGTGACAAATGCTTTTTCCACAGCAAATTCTTATCCTCAACAGAACAGGGCAAATCTTTAGCTCATAATTCACATCTGCCACAAAGCAGCCAACCTGAGAAGGCCTACTTGCAGTTCTCTGAGCCTCGTGTACAGACAACCAGCATGCTGGGCCTGTCTACTCTTCTCCACTGTGATGAGCCCCACCCCATAGTTCATCTCTGGAGTTGCAGTATACGAAGCAGCTCAGGAACTCTTCCTGACACTTGCACTGACACAAAAGCCCACCAAATCTGGACACTTTTGGTTTTAATCCTCCATAATTGTCCTGGTTAAGCCATTTTGATCTGAAGATGTTTTTGGAAGGTCATCTTATTATTCATGAGGTTCTTAAATCAGAGAATGGCATTTACAACTATTTTTAAATAGCCTATTATATTTCAGATCCCAAGGGCAACTCTTTTCCATAAGTACTACAAAGCCAAGACTTCCATAGAGTAGCAGAAGTGGCCACGAAATCTGAAGTTGACTTTTGCTCATGGACACATGGAAAATTCATTTGTCTTAGAATGTCAGTGATTACCAAAAATACCCCAACCGAGTACTGGCTCATTTTAGTGAGTGTAACATTAAATGTTTAGACTGTTCCCTCCCCAAATTTACTGTACTTACGTGGATTCCTTATGTAGGTATGCAGGTATCTGTTAAACATATCCGTTGTCTAAAGCAATACCATTTCGTCCATGGTGTAATTCCTTTAAAACTTTTTGGTTCTCCTCCCTCATCAAGGAGAATCACTTGTTAGAAAGAAAGCCAAGTCCGTAAGCTGTTGAAACCCAAAAGTGACGTGATTATTCTTTTTCCATTCTTCACCCTTAGTCTTAGGGTTTTGACGTTAGAAATGGGCTTCTGGTAGGCAGCATGCACGCGAGCCCTGTCTGACCTGACCATCTCTGTCTTACATTTAATGAGGTTGTTGATCTGACTCCATTTTATCTTGTAGCTTTTAACAGCAACATGTGTGTGTGCACATTTAGTGTTTGCTTTAGGGTTGATCACAGTTTACCTTCCAGTGAGATGATTCTACTTCATGCATCGTGTAAGGAACTTATATCAGCATAGAGCCATTTCTCCCTTCCTGGCTTTTGTGCTATTCTTATACATTTTATTTTACTTTCGTATCCATAAATTTCACAGTATGTTATTTTTACTTCAGTTTTTCTTTTTTTTTTTTAGTTTTCACTTTTTTGGTGAGACTGGGGTTTGAACTGCTCTTACAAAGTAGACACTCTGCCACTTGAGCCACACCTCTAGTCCATTTTGCTCTGGTTATTGTGAAGATGGGGTCTCATGCACTATTTGCCCTGGCTGGCCTCAAACTATGATCCTCCTGATCTCAGCTTTCCAAAGTAGCCAGGATTATAGGTTTGAGCCACTTCACCCAGCTTTGGGTTGGCTTTTTAGATCTCCCATCTCTCCATTTAACATGCTCCATCTTTCCTCTAACTTTTTAAGTTGCTATTTGTGATATATATTTTATTGGTAGTATAGCCCCAGATTATTCATTTAGGACAGTCTTTTCGTTTGGCTTGTGTTTTGTTCCTTGTTTAATTAGGCGACTGGTCAGTCAGTCTTGGGTAACTATCATGACCAGATTAATCAGTTTTAAACAAGGTGACCTGTCTCTGTTGTGAGGTTCTTTTGAGCCAATTTGTCTTGTAAAAAGGCTTGAGTTCTTGTTGAAGAGGAGTTGAGGTGTTCTGAATTCTGCTACTGAAAATCAGGCCCTTTAAGTGGTGGAAAGGTTGGCTTCCCCATGTGTTTGGCCTTCTGTCTCTAGGTCTAGGCCTTGTCCTCTGGAGCAGTTGGGAGCACCTCAAGGCCTCCCAGATAGCAATTGGATGTCAGCCAGCAAGCTCTTTTTTTTTCTCCAGTGCTGGGGAATGAATGTAGGCAAATCCTTTGTTAAGTTGACAGGCCAGGCTCAATTGGTCACACTAGCTGAGTCTCCTGGCTTCTGCTTCCTTCTCTGTTTTCCTCAGTGATGCTCACACATGGGAGCCATGAGGCCCTGGCTGAATGAAGCAGAGCTGAGAGCTGATTCCCATGCCACATTCCCTTAGCTGCAGGCATGCCAGATCTCGTGCAGGTCTCTACTGTTCCAGCTTACTGGGTGTTTGTGGAAGTAATGAAGTAACCCTGATTGGGTTCACCAGCATCTTAGAAACCAACAGCATGGTGATTATTGTCACAGGCGGGAAGATGCTCTTTTGCTCATCCTTTGAGGGGCTACTAGAGAGAGACCTGCTTCCTTGTGTGTGACACTGGTAGCTGATGGAAATCAGCTTCTCCGGGATGAAGCACAGTCATGAAATCCTGTTGCATGCTTAATGTTTTATTTTACTTCCTGTAGAATTTGTGGTAGACTGTCGAAAATTTCTGGATTCAAATGCTCTGGGCCTGACTATTGCGGCTCTTAGCAGCTATGACCCCCAGATGCGAGCTGCGGCCTACTACGTCTTGGCATCCTACCGCTCACACCTGGAGGGCGCTCGGTTCCGGGAGCAGTCCCAGGTGCGTAGGAAGTGGGGGCTTCCGACGAGAGGCAGGGTGGGGGCCTGCCAGGATTCAGGGACTTAGCTGGCCACATAGTCTAGTGGGAGGATTTACTGAAGAACACGGAGCTGGTAGGTTGCCAGGAGACTTTCTGCCGAGGAGTATGTTTGTTCTCCTTGGGAGGTAATGAGGTGGGGGGTTGCCTCTGATTCTCAGCTCTCCTGTGGGTAAACAAAATGGTTCTTTGGTACACACTCAATGGTGAAGGTGGTCATTACCCCCAACACACAAATCCTCAGAACCCATGCCCTGCCTTGGGAGAGGAACAGGAGTAGATTGGACTTCTGGGCATGGACTGGATTGGGCATAGTGCCAGACTTCTCTCTACCATTGAGCACGGGCCTACCTCCTAAAAGAAAAGTAAAAGACAACAGACACCCCTGATGTGGTGGCAAGAGTGGCCCACTCCTGTGGCTTGGCATCTGGTGTCCCTAGGGTAGGAGAAAAAGGCACACCCTGCAAAGTTGTGGTCTAGCTTGTGCAAGACGAGACAATCACAGTTCTAAAAATGCTCATCTTTGTATTTTTCTCTCTGTTATTCAGCTACTTTACCTGTTGGACATAGTCCGAAATGGCATTCGAACTCCAAACCTGAGACTCACTTTTACATTGGCTCTCTTCATTGCCAAGGCAGCACTGCAGATTTTAAAACCAGGTACCCTGATATTATCCATTTGAGGGTAACCCAAGAACTAACAGCAGGAACTTGCGCCAGTCTGCGTCGGATGTAACTCTGCCTCAATTTCTTCACTATACAACAGGGGTGATGAAAGCACCACTGCTTGTGGAGTTGCTGTAAGGTGACACAAGTCGTGCACATGAAAGCCCTTGGGTTGAGGGGGTGCCTGGCACAGTGAGCTTGCATGCAGCGCCTCTTTCACCATCGATGCTGTTTATTAATCACTGACCTGTGACTGGTGAATTCAGAGTTTGTGTGGCTCCTGGCTCCTCAGCTCAGAAGCATGTGAATTATACAGATGCCACCCAAGGTGTTAGATTATGGCTCCGTTTTTACCCACAGGGGAACAGGGATATCTCCACCAAGGCAATGTGAGAAGAAGATGTAAAGTCATTGCAAGGCCATGTTTTGGGGTTATTCAGAGAAAAGTAATGTTGGTACCATTCGGAACACAGGGTTCTTTTAGTCTAGTATGACCATGTCTCAGGTGAGGAAACAGCCGCCCAACTGAGCTCTACCACCTGAGGCCCCAAAACCGGATAAACGATGCATCCAAAGCCCTGCAGTCTAGCTACTCTTAGAATTCCAGTCTATCTTCATCTGCTCCCACATAGTTTTTATTACAGGGATTTTCCCGGCCTTGAAAACTTGGGGAGGAAAGAAAATAACCACTTGCAGATTCTAAAGGATAGAGCCGATCATGAGAAATGATAGCAGACCACAGTGTCTGTGGTCCTAGCCTCCGGTTTAGTCCGAGACACCTGCACATAGCCATCCCCCATCAGGCAGAGCCTGTGAGGGGCAACAGTGGTCCAAGCTGGGCTCTGAGGCTGCAGCAGGAAGAGGAGTTGTGTGTCCACCTCTGCCTTGTACTCAGTAGCTATCCATGCCTCCCCTGCTGCGGCAGTGAGGCTGGAGGCGGGTGTACCTGGTGGGTGTGGTGTGAGCTCTGGGCTGACATCCATTTGGCCAGGGCCAGGTCCAGCTGTGGTCTCTGAACCATGAGAGAAGGCCCATGTGCAGAGGCCACCTCAGGTGTCTAATCCTATTCTTGTTCTTGAGCACCAGTAATCCTGGTAGGGACTCAGAAATTTTGTGGGGACAGAGATTTATGTCTGACACCCAGAGTGCTCCCGCACACACTGCCAGGTCATGGGCTGTCCTGTTGAGGCCTGTGGTCAGTGACTGTTTGCCTGTATTTTCAGAGGAACACATGTATTGGAAGATCAGCAAGTTCCTGCTGTCACACGAGTACTTGAACATGGACAAAGTGCCAGGCTTCTACCAGTTCTTCTACAGCTCTGACTTTGAGGTAATGCTACCAATGTTCTCCATGTCCCCAGAGACTCCTAAACTAGATCACTTAGCCACAGCGGTCATCCTAATGTATTCCCTGTTAGTACAGTTTGCCACACAGCCCACACAGTGCACAAGTGTGTAGAGCAGGTCGGGAAAGGAACGAATCATGCAGGTCTCTGAGTAGAAGGCTCTTCCATTCCTCTCATTGATCTTTATGTCACTTCTCACACCTTTTATGCTGTGTTGGAGCCCTGAGTCTTAGGGCATTCTGATAATTCCTTGGTAAATCCCTGGATTATGTATTGAATATCCTTGCATGGAATATCAACCCTGACTTAACACAGCTCAGGCGTTAAACTTGACTTAGTCCTTTATTCCTGACCTGAGTAAGTGTGATCAGGGATGAGATGGAGGGTTTAATAGAAACAGAGGCCAGGCCCTGTGTTTCAGTCTTTGTTATCTCTGGAAAACGGTGTGACAAGTGTTGTCAGATAACAGGCTTCAACTTAGTTAACACTTCTTTCTTGTTTGCCTGGGTTATAGCAAAAAAACGAGCAGGAGTGGGTATTGGGAATTCTGCGGCAGGGGATTCGCGACAAGCAGTGTTACGAGCTATGTGCCAGACGAGGGATCTTTCACATAATCCTGTCCTTCTTCAGCAGCCCGTTGTGTGACGAAGTGGCACAGGTAAGCAGCTTCTGCAGGTTTATTTGAAACTGAATGGTCTGTGCTCTTTCTTGTGGTTTTATTTGAACATCACATCCATGTGAATTTTAATCCCTGCCTGGATGTGATTGTCCTAAGTCTGGCTTTGAATTAGGGAAAACAAGAGTCCATTAATGCCTGTCCTGTTGCCTGCATGTGGTGCAGACTGAGTCATTTGTGGACATAGAATGTGACATCCAGTATAGTTTGTCCCCTGATGAAATGCTTTTCAGTGCAGCCCTCTTGCTGTGCCTTGGCTGACAGGAAGGTCTCTACTTTGCCATCATGAGGGAGGTACTAATTAGTGATTATGAACCTGTGGAGCTAACCAAAAGCTGAGAAGTAAATTATCCCACAGAGGAGCCACTGAGCCACCAGAATTTCATTTAGTGCAGAGAGGCAGGAAAGAAGTCGGGAGTTTTGACCGCCAGCTCTCCTAGCTCATTAGGAACCTGTTTGTCCAACTCTGCCTCTAGCATTGAGAGCTCATGTGAGGTTTTTGCACACACAAGTTGTTGGAGCCTGATAGCTTTTGTTTCTGATGTTATGTAAAATGTGTGAGAAGTAAGACTGAGTCAGGATTAAGAAACACATTAGAATATGGAATCTGGGCATAGTATCTTTCTATTTCTGTGGTGTGAGAACTCTAAAGCATAAAGTGGATTGTCTGGAGCAGTCTCATGTTTACAACCCCTGGCTGCTCACAGCTGGTCTAGAAGTGGGCCTGTGTTCTCTCCCAGCTGGGCTGCCACATATCTAGGACATATGATTTCTGTGTTGCATCTTTCTTGTGGGTTGGTTCCTTATGATGTGACAATCTCCCCAGGCCTGTTGGTTGCTGGAGGTCGGTCTGGCTGCCACTGGTGGGGAAGACACTGTCCTGCACAGCCACCACTCTGACAAACCTAACACAACAACCACTTGTCATGGTGGCGAGCCATTACCTTTTGAAATCATTCCTTTGATCAAGTAAGTATGGTTTTCCACTGAAGAGTATCTTTTTGTTTTGGATATTCAGAACTGGATTCTAGAAATTCTACAGAATGCTGCCCATGTTGCCAGATCTGCCTATGAAATCATACGGGACTATAGCCTCTTAACATGGATTTTATACATCCTCGAGAGCAAGTAAGTCCCTTTTGCATGAGAGATGTGTGTCAGGTGGGAAGAAGGTAGGATGGTGACATAGTCACTACCGCAGGCTTTGGTAGTGATGGGAGTGCACAGTAGAACCCATGCTCTCTGAAGTAGTTTCCCTGGAGACCCCCATATACCTGGCAATTCCACTTCTGGTGATGCCCAAAGGGCTTTTTCTCCATTTTTCAATGTCTCTTGTCTGCCTTGGAACAACAGACACCAGCTGTCATTCACACTGGCAGAGACCCCCCCAGTCTTCCTGTCTGTGCCATTTACACTCCTTTGCTGGGGGGTCTGGCCAGCTTTCTAATGTGTGACAATAGTGCCCTGTCCTCTGAGGATTGACCAAGTGCAGCCCTTCCTTAAGTAGGAACAGGAAACCTCCAGTTTTAGGAAGACTCTTTAAAGACCCCAGTGTCCATCATGGGGTCTGGGTCTGGGTTCTCAGTGCTGCAGCAGTGTCTAGTGGCCGGTGGAAGATTCACTGTGACTCCTGAGAACCTCGGAGGGTGAGGCTGGAAGGCCAAGGACCCTGGCACAGCAGGCAGTGCCTGTGGAGGGCTCTGTCGTTCACCAAACTGGACCAGGGGTCTCTAGGCCCTTTTGCTCATTTTTTAAAGGTTTTTTTTTTCTTCTAAGAGGAAGTAATATCCTAAATCTTACATGTCTTTGAAGATCCACCTGAAGACTGTTTCATATTTTTAAAAGGCATAATTGGCTAGTTATCTGTTCCTTGCTAACAGCTCCATATTTTGCAATTCCAGGTGTTTTCATAAATAGTCTGGAGAGAGCGAAGGCAGGCCTCTATGTAGAAGGGCATGGAGGTGGCACATCCTGTGTCGAGACCACATTGATACATCAAGCACCCTGTTTCTACTTAAGAGGATGTGCTTTTGGGGGATGTGCAGATGGGGCTGCCAGGCCACCAGTGTTCTGTTCTGTCTTCGATATCCCTGCTCCACCTCCCTAGACTGGTCTTGCTGGCAGGAGATGATATGGCAGCACTGGACCACTGCCTTGTTTGGTTTCAGGTTTCTAGAGACTCAGCTGCTCTCTAATGTGGTCTCTTTGCTGCATACGCTGTGGGTGACCAACCTGGGAGACAAAGGAATGGAGGAGGAGAGCCAGCCACCTGGGCAGCCAGGCTCCCGAGAGCCCCGCAAGCTCCTCGCCCTGCACCTGATCACCGAGTTCCTTTACATCCTCATCGCAGTCATGAAGCACCTGAGGTGAGCTAGGAGGTCCCCTACTGTGCCTGAGGCTGTGCTGGCCAGGGCCATTTATTCTTTTCTGTCACCTGTGGGCACCGTGTCTTGGTCACAACTCCATAGTAGGCTTTGAGTCATGGCTTGGTATGGATTGGGCCAGAGTGCCGGTGTCAGATATGCGTAGTATCAGGACATCTACTTTCGCTCTTTTCTTCTTTTCATTTCAACTTCATGAGGCTTTGTTTTAAGGCCTTAACAAACTGGCATACTTTTAAAATGTAAAATACATCATATCAGGTTGTTTTTAGCAGACAAACCATCTGCCTGGTGTTCAGACACTTAAATATAAGTGAAGTTTCACAGAAGAGCATATTTTTCTGTGACCTTAACCAGAGTAGGCATATTTCCAAGCTTTCCCTCTGCCTTTGCTGTTCTGCAAAGACCCAAGTGTCATGAACTTCCTTGCATATTTTAATACTTTCTTCTAATCCCTTGGACTCAGGCTGTTGGTTTTGCTTAGAGAGCTAAACTCTCCTCAGATTCCACTGTGTTATAGAAAACACACCTTATGCACTCATATTTCCAGTGTAGGACCTGGCATGTGCTAACAAACCAGAAAATTGATAGCAAATAGAGTGCTCAGAGTGAATAGGGCATTTTGTTTCAAGTTGTTCCAAATTAAGACACTGCTGGCCAATGGTATTTCTTACTTTGGGATTGTCAGGAGACAGGTTGCTGTCTGAGAATTGATTGTTTTGAAAGAATGGCTTCACTTTTAACACCATATGGAGCAGATGCTATTAAGTTTCTTGGAGCTCAGTTAGGTGTATTTACAACCCCTGACCATTAGTCAGCCTTTGCCCATGGTGGTGATGCTGCATGAGGGCCTTCCTGGGCCTTTTTCACTTGAGTCTGACAGCTCCTGGTATGGGAAGGAATCGGCAGTCCTAGAGTGGAGCTCTGTGTGGCTCCTGGGGCCTGGCTCTCAAGCTTTCTGCTTGGCTACTCTGTTTAGTCAAGGTTTCTTAAAGAGATTTCTCTTCCTCACGAGTAGTGAGCACACTCTGGGTCTCCTTTTCTGCCTCCCCACAGAAGCTCTTTTGTCCTCTTCTGTGACCTGAGGTCCATGTTAGGTGTTTGTTTTAAAGGGAAGCCTGGTTCCCAGATGGACTGTTTATGACAACAGCTTTTGCTCAGTCTGTGTCATCGTCTTCCCAACAGGCCCACCTTGGCCTCTGCCCAGCTGACCAACTTCTTTAGAACACTTGACTCTGTGCTGAGGTACCGGGCCACCGTCATGAAAGCCTTCAAGGACATGGGCCGATTTACTGTGAATGAAACAGTGCTTTCTACCAAAGACGTCCTGGTCCTCTTGCACAAATGGAGCCTCATTGAAAGAGATGTCAAGCTCCAAGAAGACGTGAGAGCAGCCATTGAGAAGTGCCAAGTCAAAGACCTAATGAGTAAGTGTTGAACCTGTGGCTCTGCAAGTCCACCCAGAGCAGCCAGCATCTCTCCCGCTCTACGCTGCATTTCCAAAGATTATGAGGAGAGAGGAAACCTGGGTTTGAGTTCCAGCCCTGCACTTAGTAGTTTTTTGCCTTTAGGTGTGTCACAACTGAATGTATTAGTAAGCTTTCTGTCTCTGTGACAAAATACCTGTCTTCACAATTTCAGAGATTTCGGTCCATGGTTAGTTATTAGTCTGGGCCTGTGGTGAGGCGGACTTCATGATGGATTGAAGCTGATCACCTCATCACAGCCAGGAAGCAGAGAGAGAGAGAGAGAAATGGGCCTAGGGTGAGCTACTCTTCAAGGGCACACCCCCAACGACGTACATCCTCTAGCTAGGTTCCAGTTCCTAAAGTTTCCACCAAAGCCCTCCCTCTGAATACGGACGCCCTGGGGACCAAGCCTTCAACGCAGGAGCTCTGGGGGACATTTAGATCCAAACCATAACGCTGAGTTATCAACGTACCCACCTTTAAAGGGAATAGGAGGTAGCTAAGAGCTGCTTGTTCCCAACTTGTCCTATACTACGCAGTCATAAGAACAGACTGGAGCTGGATCTCCTAGACTCAAGCTGTCCGTGCTGCCACCTACAGGTCTCTATGTGTTTATTTTATCCATCTATCTCTCTATTTGTCTATCTATCTATCTGTCTATCTGTCTGTCTATCTATCTATCTGTCTGTCTATCTTTCTGTCTATCTATCTATAGATAGATACTGGCAGGGTCTGGCTATATTGCCCAGGCTTGTCTTAAATTCCTGAGTTAGAGTGATTCTCCTGCCTCAGCATCCTGAGTAGCTGGGACTATAGGCGCACACCACAGCATCTGTCTTTCCTTTTACATTAATGAGTGCATTGTAATAACAATTGCAGTGATGGTGTTACACACACAGGAGAGGGCCTGTTAGAGTGGTGCCAGGTGCCCAAGACCTATGAGCTGCCCCTCTGTCTCCTGAGGAGAACCTGTGTGGGCATGAGGACACCAACCTCACTGCCTCCTTTCTCTGTACTTAACAGAAATGCTCAAGGATAAGAACAAACCTGGAATGCCATCCCGAGCCAAAGGCCTTCGAGGCCGCAAGAAGAGGCCTGGGGAGGCAGAGGAGATGGCCAACCCTGAGCTGGAGGCATCCAGTTTGGAGACTTGCAAGGCCTTCCTGAGGTCCATACTGACCCACTGGGGGCCAGTGGTCCCTGGCCCTGGACCCACTCAAGAGCCTATGGACTGGGTCAGCTCTAAGAGTGAAGCACCGAGCCCTGTGTATGCTGCCACTTCCCTAGTGGTCAGCTGGGTGCTGCGGTCAGTGGCGGAATGCCCACTCAGCAGAGCAGAGGCTGCAGGGCTTCTTGGTTGGCTTAAGAAGCACATTTTACCACATCCAGTGGTGGTGACTGACCTTCTCCAGGACAGTGCTGTGAAGAGTGACCTGTTTAAGCTGTATAGTCGCCTCTGTAGTGCCGAGGGGCTGGTAGGGCCTACACAGGATGTGGTCTGCCTGTTCAACACTGTCATGCTGCAGTTGGTGGCTGCCCAACACCAGGCAATGAGCCCCTTCCATCTGGCAGTGGAGGCCCTGTGCACTGCTTCTCTGAATGAGAAGGATGAAGCCACACGAGGTAACGCTGTTTCTTCAGTCAGAATCCCAAAAAATGCATGAGTGGGTGGGGTCAGGGGCTTCTTTTCCTTAGAGGAATTTAGGCCTCTGCCAGACAGCCTCAGTTTAATGAAGTATTTAGGTGGCCCTCACCACAATTCTGAGGTTGTGAGTTTGCCATTTGGTAGTGAATGTGAAAGAGAAGAATTCTGCCTCATTAGTGATACTGTGTATACAGTGAAACCTGAGAACCTCGGTGTCCCTCCAGGGACTCACCCTGCAGAGCAGAACCGTGTGGCACACGATGGCCAGGCAGGCGTGTGGGTGAGCACACAGACTTACCTCACACATACGGCATGCACAGTCTGTGCTTGGCCTTCAGCAGGTACCCAAAGCTTTGGATACTGGAGCAAGTGAAGGAGTGAACTGTGCTGGCTTTTATGAACTAGGGAGGGCAGGTGTGCCTCCTCCATCCCAGAGGGCGGTCTCTTTCACTGAGGGACGGAAAGGGTATCCAGGGAGGGGAGGGTCAGCAGGTGGGTCAGGCGAACTCTCCTGGGAGCAGAGGGTGACCCTCCTCAGCTGGCCACAGCCAAGGAATTGAGTCTGGGCCTGTGAGACCATCCTTCTCACCCGTGCTGTGGGATAGATGATAAGAAAGGACCTGGGGAGGACTTCTTGGACCTCACTGGTCCTTTCAGACCAAGAAAGGACCTGCCTTGTAGTGGTTCTTTTTTCGGGTCCACACATATTTATCAGAAGAAAGGTACATTTAAAAAAATTTTTTGGCAGTACTGGGGTTTGAACTCGGGGCCATCCACTTGCTAGGGTGATGCTCTAGCAACTGAGCCATGCCCTTGTCCCTGAGAAAAGCACATTTTTAAATAAACAAAAAGATGCACAGAAAAGTTAAGCCAAGACAAAATGAGTTTTTTTATCCATAAATTCACCTTGGGTTGCCACAGATTTGTGGTGCAATCCGTTTGGTGATTTAGCAGAGCCATGGTACATTGTGGCTGAGTGGCTTGCTTTGCAGCTGCGTGGGCACACATCGTAACAGCCTTGTTGTCTGATTCTTCCTCAGCCTCAGCAGCCTTCCTGGTATCTCTGTACATTAAGGACATTTGGCTGGGGACCCAGCGGCCAGGCACCTTCTTAAGCCACATTCAAATGGTCTGTGAGGCCACAGAGGACGCACCAGGTAGAGAGGAGGCCATCAGTGTGCACTGCAAGGACATTGCTACTTCAGCCTCGGATGCTCGACACCCTGCTGTGACGCCTTATGCTGACTCCCTGCTGACTGACACCCGAGCACCAGGCTCTAGGTCACGGTTTCCAAGGGAAGTATGAAATGACAGGTTCAATACACCGACTCAGTTCTCTGACAAGAAGAGTTGAAGGGACTTTACTTAAATGACCTGTAAAGGGACTGTGTGTGTACCAAGTAGTCAAAGCCGAAGTGCCCATGGGGTGCTTGGGCTCCAAGGGCTGTCAGGGGTTCAGGCAGACAGGCCCTCCTTGTCCCAGGTGTGCTGCCCTTCAGTGGAAATTCCTCAAGTTGAAATGATACTTGTGAGTGTGGGATGGATTCACAAGCTCAAATGTCATATTTTTTGATGAGCATAAAGAAAGATATTTAAAGTTTTTTAAGGAGTAATAGCAAAAGTTTGTTTGACTCTTAATAAATGAGTTCCTGCCAGTTTGCTGATCATTTTATTAAGTCAAAGGATGTTATGCTGAATTATTAAAGAGTAAAATAACTTGATCTCTGCTTTAGAAGATAGCCTGTATTTTTTTAAATTGTGTTTCAAAGATAGGAGTTTGAATTTTATAATCTCTTGATAATAAATGTCTATTTTTGTAAGGCTTTTGTGTTTTCCTTTCCATTGATGTTAACGGCTATTTTTATTCCAGAGACCTGCATTTTATAGGTCAGAATTTGACTTCTAAGTTTCATCTGTTAGTATTGTAGCTGACAAAAGTGAGTACAAAATGTCATGGACTTTACAAATAAAATGCTGGTGTGGGTCTGTGGAGGTGGTTCTGTTATGTAGGAGATAGCTATCTGATTTGTCCTGTATACTCTACATAACACTGATAATGGTGTGGTTTTGTCTTACACATTTACACTTTCAATAGCCACCAGTGTTCTTTAGAATCTTGTTTGTTTTAAATGACAGGGTTGTAAGCAGGCAAGAATAACGCATCTGTGTATAATCCCTTTACCTCAACTAAGACTGGCTGTCTAAAGTAAGAATCTTTCACCTCTCCTTTCCTCTCCAGAACAGTATTCTTTGAAACGTTCTGAAGTTGATATCCTGCTGTTAGCTTCAAACTGGACTCACAAGCACTCTTCCCAAAGGCCACGTTTCCTGTCTTCCGCACGGCTGCCTTTGTGCTGTCACTTGTTTACTGAGATTCCTTTGTGTACCGTCCCCTCTGACTAGCATGCAGAGGGGAATTGCAGGCAGAGCAGGGCTGGGGACATGTCCCTACAGCTCAGGCCTTGGGGAGGAAAGGAAGGGCCTGTCTTGAAAGGCTGTGGGGAGGTGGAGGTGTGGTGGAGAGAGCTGGCCTGGCAGGGCAGACACTTCCTTATCTCTGGTCACTGGGCATCAGTGGAGAAAGTGGGAGCTTCGTGTGGGCTTCGCCAGCATCCTGACAGGTACGAAGCAGGCTCGAGGCGATAGTGCAAAAGGAACACTAAAGCAGCATAGAAAATGTTAGTATATGTGTTTAGCTCAATATATGTACTTTATTTCCTACTCATCACAAAGCAAGCATAAGCAGTAAGTGATCAGGTCTAAGCACGTAAATAAAATCAATAATGTCTGGGGCGACGTCTCTGCTTAGAGGGGCCATTGGCAAGCCTTTGACCAATGCATGTGGTATACCTCCTTAGACATCGTTTTTGACCTGGTCACACTTTCTACCACAGGTAAACAGGGTTAAACAGATGTGTGTGTCCAGGTTGGTTTGATTTCACCAGTTCCCTTGGCTGTGACTGGCTTACTGGCCTCAATTCTAAAAGAGGTTCTGTTTCCAAGCTCACCCTACCGCTGGGCTTATTCCTGACATCAGGTGGTGCCTTGCCCCTCCCCCACCCCCAATCCAGGGTCTATTCCTCTAGGAGAGTAAGGGGTGCTGTGGGGACCACGGGGTGAAGCAGAGGCTCTCCCTCTATAGCCTCTGGTCAACACCACCTCCACTTCCAGGTTCCACTGCTGTCCCCTGGGAGGTCCTCCGGAGGCAGGAGGAAAGGTTGAGACTGTGACTCCATGGGCACGTTTGGTGGTGCTGGGAGTTCCTCCTGTTGACAGAGCAAATGGAAGGCAGCGTCAAAGGAGCTGGCTAGGGCCTTTCCTGTGTCGTGTGTCCCCCTCACCTACCCAGAGCCCTGAAGGAAGGCCCAAGGAGCAGAGACCCCTAGGGAGGGTCTACCCAGCTCATGAAAGGTGCTATTGCAGAGAAATCTGAGAAGAAAGGAAGAGTCCTGTCAGGATCTAGGCCTTGTGTCTTCCCCTCAAGGTTACTTCATGCTCCTATGTTCATTTCCAGTGGGCCAAGGGCTGGCTGACCTTCCATCCAGGCACGTATCTAAGTGAGCTCATTTCCCATCTACATTCCAAAACAATTTGTGTCAGCTGAGAAACCCATCTTCCCAGGCTTCTCCTGCCCTGGAGGTGCTGGGGACAGTGGACATGGATGGCTGCCTGGCATGAGTCCTGGCCACCACTTTCCACCTGTCTTGATTTCATCTACAAAATGAGATAGTAACTGCCTCCTTGGTCCCATCAGGGTGAAATGCAGCCGCGTGCAGGTGGCTGTCTAAGCTAGAGAATATATTTCAGTGTGGTCACAATGTTAATGTGAACGAAAAATGTGGGAGAAGAACCCACTGGGGCCGAGTCCCTTCCTTTCAGATGACCCTCATGAAAGACAGCCTTTCATTTCTTCTCCTCCCTTTTCCCTCCCATCCTTCTGTGCTTCCTTATGTGAAGAGCTACTCCTCAGGGAACCACTGTCTTTCCTAAATCTTACTGCCTGAGTATTCCATGTCCCTACAAAGTGCTTTGAGAGCCTTTTCTTTGGTGAGCTAGGAGCTGGTCAGGAGAAACAATGTCATGAATTTGCCCCTGTGAAAATATACCTTGAACACTGCTCTGTCCACTGGTGCTGGGCACTGAGTGCTCACCAGACCAAGGACCTTTCCACCAGGAAAAGTACAAGCCCTCTCGAACTGTTCCAGGCCACCAGGCATGCTGGAAAGCATTCAGAGGGATAGAAAAGAAAGGTGATTTCCTTAGTTTATCCTCCAGGGTCTCTTGGGGTAAAAAATCTTAAATTTGGTGTGAGTAGGGGCTGATGGAGTGGCTCAAGTGGTAGAACACCTGCCTAGCAAGTGAGACCCTGAGTTCAAACCCCACTACTGCCAAAAAAAAAAAAAAAAAAATTAGTGTGAGTTAAAATCTGAAAGAGAATGGATTTCTTCATTGCTCAAAAGCTTGTCCCTGCCTACCATGTAGGACCAAAGGCAACCTGAATGACCTAGTGAGTGTGCACTGGGCAGATGAAACACATGGGGAACAGGAAGGAAAGGGAAACGGAGGAAAGAAGCAGATGCTCCTTTATGGTGGCTTCGTAACTACACAAGTCCACAGGTTCCTCACTGGAAGTGGCCTGGAACCCCCTTACAAGTAGGGGCTGCCCTCTTGGGTTCTTTCAGGGGCTCTAAGAATCCTCATCTCTTTATCTGTGGGAAGTGGCAGTGTTCAGGGTGCCAGTGGCTCACACCTGTAATACCAGCTGTTTGGGAGGCCAAGAATGGGAAGATTGAGGTTCAAGCCAGCCCAGGTAAATATTTTACGAGACCGCATCTCCAACATAACAACAAAATGAGCTGGAGGTGTGGCTCAAGCAGTAGAGTGCCTGCTTTGCAAATGCAAAGCCCTGAGTTCAAACTCCATCCCACCAAAAAAAAATTTATAAAAGAAAAAAAGAAAGAAATGGCTCTGCTCATCTTTCTCTGCTGACCACCTTCATGTTTTTGTGGGCTCCATTCCCCAAGTCTTCTGTCCATAGTGGACATACCACTCCGTAATGTCACCCAGTCCCACCTGTCCCCCTGGACCAGTCCGTGCAGCTTCCACAGCTACCTGGTCCATCTCTCAGGATACCCATTTCAAGTGTGAAAGACAGGAATAGGTCTGGCCCCCGCTCTCCTGCCAGGGGATGTTTTCCACAGGTGATGGTCCTCTCTTGCAGGAGTCTTCATTGTGTCAGTTGCCTACCCCTGATCCCTTCAGCCACAGCAGGGTACAGGGGCCCTTGTAAGAACAGTCAGTAGGACAGCAGCAGCTGTGGGGTGGAATAACCTAGAAAGGACAACTGGGTATGCAGGCCAATTGTCCAGCCCTGAGTTGCCACATAACAAGTTAGGTTTAAATAACTTGGAGCTCCTAGATTTTACCTCACTGAGGCATACAACACACATTCAATAAGAGACAGTGAAGTTAGGGTCTCAGATTCTGGGGAGCTGATTGACAACACTTACTGTCATGGAGGTTATTCTGGCTTTATTTTCTTTAACACCTTTATCGGATACATTACACATACTGAGTTCACCCACTTGAAGTATGTAACTCAGTGGTTAATGTATTTACCACTGAGTGAGTGCAATCCTCACTCTAATTTTAGAACACTTTTACCATTACCCAAAGACACTCATTAGTGTCTCATCCCTCCACCCCCAACCCACCCCACCTTCCAGCCCTAGACGTCCATCAGTCTGCTTTCTGTCTGTATGGATTTACCTATGCTGGACATTTCAGGTAAAAGGAATCATACAATATGTAACCTATTTTTTTTTTCAGTACTGGGGCTTGAACTCAGGGCCTTCACCTTGAGTTTTTTGTGAAGGGTTTTTCAAGATAGGATCTCACTAGCTATTTGCCCGGGCTGGCTTTTTTGCACCTGGCTGCTTTTACGTAGCACGATGTTTTTGAGGTACACCCATGTATCACTTAACAGTGGGGACATGTTCTGGGAAGTGTGGGTGGTTTCTTCATTATGTAGACATAAACTGTGCTCACACAACTAAGATGACTACGGTATACCCAGGAGGTACAGTCCTACAGGACCAGCAGCGTATCCATGGTTCATGGCTGACATGTGGCACATGACAACATCCATGTTTTGGCATGACTCGGCACTTCTTCCTTTTTACCGGAACTTCCGTGGCGTCAAAGTCCTAAGCTGTGACACTTCAGCATCCGAGTTACCAAATACCCCTCTTGCTACTCACCTCATCTGCAGGGAGCCTGGCCAGGACGTATACAGCAGAATGAGGAAGAGGATGACCACAAAAGCTGCCAGGCTCACCCAGAAGGCGATGACGATGAAATCTGTGGAAAGAACAGAACCCTCTCAGGGTCGTCTGGCCACAGCGTTACCCACAAGCACAAGGGCTAGGAAACCCAAGCCTTGCAGAACCAGGGCCCTCGGTGTAGCTGTCCCCTCTTCTCTCAGCCTCTCAGCTGTCACCACTAGAAAGATTTTCCAATAACAGCCTTGGAAAGGATCAGGGAGGCAAGGAAGTGGCTTTTGCCCAGAGTACTTGGGAAACCAGGAAACGCTTAGCCTCTTCCAGGTCTGGGGTAGAACCTGGCAGGTCAGGAGGTACCTTTGTTTGGGGCTACAGGTCGGGAACTTTCTCAAGTTGCTTGGGAACAGCTAACATGGGGGTTTTATCTGTTGCTATTCGCATGGGACATCAAGCACTTAATTAAAGTCTGCACGTATCTTAGCCAAGAGCAACGAGATGATGGCAGGAAAAGATGCCAAGCTGAGAGAGTCTAGACACCTACACGAGTTACCAAAAGAGGCTACAGAAGGGTGCTAACTCCCAAGTACTCAGTAAGCACCTTCCGCCAGCCAGGCTCTGCCGCAGGGGCTGTAGAGGATTTGCAGGGACCAAACCAGCCCCTGAAACTGCTGATGCCCTTTGCAGGCAATGCTCTGACCCCGACCTCCTCCTCTGAGCTCCTACAGTACTACTTCCCATTGGTGTCCACACCATCCCTGCTCAGCATTATGGTATTATGGTGCATCTAGCTCTAACAAACGAAGTGTCCATCAAGAAGATATCTCTGAATGAGTGAGCAAAGGAATGAGCGAATGAACAGCCAACGAAAGAATGATGGGGTGTTAGAGATTTAGGAGTGAGCTAAGCAGAAATAGGAGGAGCTGTGGCTCTGATTCATGCTCTCGCCCATCCTTAGGATTGGCTCCAGGGCCCCGCTTTGGGTACCCACATCCTCAGATGCTCCAGGGGCATGTACTTGCGTATAACCCACTCCCCTCCTTCACTTCAAGTCATCTCCTGATTACTTATGATACCTAATCCCGTCTAAATGCTCTGTGAATAGTTGCTGTATTGTGTAGGGAACAATGACAAGAGAAGAGCCTATATATTTTCAACACAGATGCAGTCTTTTTTCAAACATTTATCATCTGAGAATAACAGAAGACTGACTGCTGTACTTATGTTGAAAGGGCCTGGTGCCAGTGGCGCACACCTATCATCCTAGCTACTTGAGAGGCTGAGATCAGGAGGATCTCAGTTTGAGACCAGCCCAGGCAAATAGTTTTCAAAGACCCCATCTCTAAAATAACCAGAGCAAAATGAACTGGAAGTGTGGCTCAAGCAGTAGAGTTCCAGCTTTACAAGTGCAGAACCCTGAGTTCAAACCCCAGTCCCACCAAAAAAAAGAAAGAAAGAAAAGTGTCATTGGAAAAGGACTTGTAACAGTTGATCCTGCACGTAACAGTTAATGTCAAAAGCAGAGTGTAATAAATGGTACTGTTCTTGCAAAAGGAATCATGAGTGCTCACTCCCTTGTGATGCCTTTGCACTCCAGGCCGGCTCTCACAGCTTCTCTCCTTTCTGTTCCTGAGCCAGGAAACTGATGGTGGCACCTTGTACCATTAAACTGCTTAAGGGGACCTCTGGGCTCCTGGGAAGTGGAAATGAGGTCCTGAACTCAAGGACTTTTTAAGGCACCTCTAACTTTTCAGCGTTCCTTCGTGAGAAAAGAGTCTCTGAGCACTTAGGGTGAACCTTCAATAAGAGGGAACAGAAAAGTGTCATTTTCTTGGCATTCTTTTCCAAAAGAACACGATGAGAGTGAATTTAGTGCCTTCTCCCACACTCCCAGGGTTATGATTTATTTCATAACCTTCCAAGCGTGAGAGTGCATGTGCTTTCCGGAAATTTGGTTTGGGATTTTATTCTGTAACAGTGTTTTTGACTTCTGCAGACACTACTGCTATTTTTCCCCCCCATAAAAATAATGCAGGTTTTTAGGTTCTTAGTACCTAGATAAATTCTGCCAGACACACTAACAAAACAGCTTCAAATTGGGGTGTGGTGGTGCATGCATATAATCCCAGCCCTCAGGAAGCTGAGGCAGGAGGATTGTGAGTTTGAGGCCAGCTTGGGCTACAAGAGCGCACCTTTCTCACAGACTCACACATGTATTGTCCCCAGATTCTGAGCAGGCAATGAGATGACTCCTTGCATGGTCACATTGTCTTCAGATAGAGCAAAATTTAAATTTTGTCGGACCAAAAAGATGGACCAGTAATCATTGGTCATTTTCTGCACTAAATTCACTTTCATCCTGTTCTTTTGAAAAAGAAAGCCAAGAAAATACTGGTTCTTATTCTCTTTCACCCCAAGTGCTCAGAGGAACATTTTGTTCCAAGGGCAAGAACTGTCACCCCCAGCACTGCAAGTGTCGTGACTCCCACAGGCTTGTTTTCATGGCAAAGAGCCTAGGCTAGGCTGACAAAGAAACTAGCCCATTCCTTCCTCTTCCCTTTTCTTCCTTCCCCCTTCTTCTCTCTCCTCTCTTCTACCCTTTCCTCTTTCCTTCCTTTCCCGACCACAATGCTGGAATGTAAAGAAATAGACATTTTGGGAGCAAATTCCTGTAATCCCAGCTACTCAGGAAGCAGAGGTAGGATTGTAGTTTAAAGCCAGCACAGGCAAAAGTTAGGGAGCCCCTATCTCAGGAACAAGATGGGCATGGTGGTGCATGTCTATAATCCCAGGTGCTCAGGAGGCAGAGATATGAGGATCACAGCCCAAGGCCAGTCTTAGGCAAAGTTAGCTCAATACCCTTTCTGAGAAACAAACTTAGAAGCAAAAGGACTGGGGCATGGCAAAAGCACTGAGGAGGTAGAGCCCTGAGGAACTGAGGTCAATTTCCAGTACCACAAAAAAAAAAAAAAAGAAAGAAAAAGAATTAGACATTCTGATATTCTTGTCTGTAGACTGACAAGAAAAGGTTCTGAGCTGGGTGCAGTGTTACACATGTGTAGTACCAGCTACTTGGGAGACTAAGTCAGGAGGATTGCTTGAGCCCAGGAGCTCATGGTCAGCCTAGGCAACATAGTTGTCTCTTAGAAAAAGAAAAGAAAAATGGCTCTGTACCCATGCCTGGTCACTTCCCCTTGGGGAGTTTATCCTCCTAACTTGGAGTGTATTAGTAAGCTTTGCATCGCTATGACAAAATACCTGAGATATACAGCTTAGAAGGAGGGAAGATCATTTTGGTTCATGGTTTCAGAGGCTGCTGTTCATGACTGTTTGGCCCATCACTGTGGCCTGGGGTGAGGCAGAACAGCAAGGAGCATGATGGAGCACATCTGATCACCTCATGGCAGCCAGGAAGGGGAGAGAGAGAAGGGGCCAGAGTCTCAATATCCCCTTCAGGAGCATACCCCCAGGGACCTAACTTCCTGCCACCACGCCCCACCCCTCAGGTTCCACCACCTCCCAGGAGCACCGGAGGTTGGTGATCAAACCTTCAGCAGAGGAGCCTTGGGGACACTTCAGATCCAAAGTGCAGCATGTTTAATAAATCAGTCCAACCCGAGTGCTCTCTAGTCACAGTGGGCACATCAGTTTTGTTGAGTGAGAGTCCTCCAAACACTACGAACATTTGGGTTCCAGAGTCCACGTAGATCAAGATTTTTCCCTTATTGAGAAATAGCAAGGTAATTAAAGCCCACTCCTCAGGTGAGTAGTTTTGAGTTTAACTTCTGACTGTCATTTCCTAGCTATGTGATCTTGGGGAATCTGAGATTTTTACATCTCTAAATTTGTTTGTTTGTCTGTGAAAGGTAGATGATAGCACCTATTATATTAGGTATTAGGGGATTAAATAAAATAAATTATGGCATAATTTCTTGCCAATGATTGTAAGATGACTTATTAAGAGACCTGAAGGGATTGCTTCTGCTAGGAAGGATTTGTAGCAAGGGACATCACTGTAGCTTCCAAGTTCACTAAAATGTGGTAAAGGGAATGGTGGCATAGACTGCTATTTGTCCATCCTAGGGTCCACTCTGTGTGCTTCTCTACAGTAGCACAATCCTTGCTTTCATCTGGGTGCATGGCTGCCTGGGATAAAAACTACATTTCCCAGCCTCTTTTCAGCTATGTAGGACCACGTGACATGGTTCTGTCCAATGAGATGTGAGAGAAACTGTTAAGGTGCCAAGGAAACTGGTTTTTCGGGAATTCATGGATCCCACAGACTTTCATATGAGAGGGGCAATCAGCATCTATCTCTCTGCTACTCTGTTAGCTGTCATCAATGTTCTTTACCAAGTCAGTGATGAAACTGGCTTGCTCAGTGAACATACCAGAATTAAAAACCCAAATGAAGGCTGACCTTCAAAACAATCATTCTTTCACAACTACAGATGGATTTTCCTAAAATTTATCTACTGACCAAGCATTTCTAGAACTCTTTTGGGATTTTCTTCATGAATTAGTCATGAGTGATGACTATCATTCATACACACATGATTTTATGTTTTGAGATATTTCATTTTTGATCAACTTAGTCACCCATTTCAACTGTCCAATTTGTTTCTGGTCACCCAGAATTACTATTTCCAAGAACTATGCATAACTTATCACACAGATGTTTCACAGAATGTGCTGTGATTAGTCAAAGTCAGTTTTTTAAAAAAAGGTACCAAGGAGTTTTTGAGCAATACCAGAATCATTCCTGTGTAGTCCCTCTTCCTGTGGCCACTTGATGCAAATTTATTCAGAGCAAACACTCTGACGTCTTTGTTTACAAATCACTTCCAGTACTTACATCACGTCTGTGGGATGGACCATTGTCTGAAGACATTGAAGTCATGGTTAAAGTTGGGACCTGAAATTGATGGCACAGAATGTGAGAGACCCTTTGCTCTGTCTGTTGGATTCTCTACACCGTGTTCAGAAGAAAGTATTATTGGTGTGTTTCTGTTCTTCTGTCCCCAGCTCTTAGAGCAGCAGGTGAGCAGACCACACTATTGAATCTGCCTGAGGCAAGGAATC